GCAAATGCGACTTCGGTGGAGGATGTGGATCAGGGGAGAAAATCTTTCAGTATGGGGATACAGGACTCGGCAGAAAACTCGGGAGCAAGTCCCGCTCAGCAACCAACACAACACAGAGCGACCGACCACGATCGGCAATCTTTGCAAACAGACAGCACTAACGATTTTGCCACCGGGCAGGGTCAGCACTCTCGAGACCCCGACGCTATGGATGTAGATACAGAGCCGACTCGCCGGGCAGATACCCTCAGTCTCAGTCTGGATTCTCTTCAAAAAGAGCTAACCTCGGCTTTTCATCTTTGCAAGAGCTGTAAGATTCCCCAAAATGCATCATAGCGTCTGCTGTGTGCAGTTGCATGAATGTACTGATCTTGCACATTCTTGGAACTGAAGTTGTTAACACTGCTTTTTACTCCTTGACAGCTCCGATCGTTACTGGTCCAGACCCTTCAGTGGATCTCGTTTCTCTCTATGGGTTAGGCTCAATCGCGCACTCGGTAGCACGCATCGATCCCGTGACGGGAGAGAAAATCAACCGCCTCCGGAAATCATACGAAGGAAAGCTCAAAGGACTGGGACTCGCTGGGCGGAACAAACCCCTCAAGCAGGAGATCGGCGCTCCTGGCAGTCTGAGGTACATGACCCTATGGCCCGAAGAGGAATGGCAAAACCAGAAGGTGCATGGCAAGGCCATCAAGACTTCAGACATGGATTCGGCGCTACAAAATCTTCAATCGCGAGCCATGCAAATGGAACCAGGACCGATTCCTAATAACGATTTCTGGGAAGATATCTTGGGTCACGAAAAGCCGGTCAAGAATCCAGCGCCCGGCGAGACTGGCAAGAGGGCCGTCCCAGCTCCAACTGCTGGCCGTCCCTCTGCTCAATCCTATGCCGCATCTCCACAATCACAGGAAGCAGAACGGCCACGGCCTAGCAGGGGTCGCAAGAGACATTACGACGACAATAGCTTTGCCGGCTATGGTGAAGGGTTTGTGGATGATGATGATGACCCCGGATTCTACTCGAATGGCGAGGGAACTGGGAAGAAGAAACGCAAGAAGGTATTACATTCCCACTGACCGTAACCTTGATAAGAATTAATCAAATTAATCAGGACCACGTCGCTAAGGTGTCAACCCCCATGTCCGAAAGAAGCGCTAGCTACGGGGTAGGCATGTTCGGCATCGGGGCCAGATGACGAAATGTGTTCTATGATCATTTCGAATCAACCAAAAGCTGTTTCTGTTTAATTTTTTATTTCTTTCGATGAAACACCAATTCTGCCCATATTAACCTATAGGGGTGGGGTGATGGGTCCGAGTCTTGCCACTGTGCAAGGCCCGAGAACTCGATGTCTATTGTGGCTTCCCCCCCTTCTCTTTTTTTTTTCATTCTCAGTACATGTTGCATCACGGTGCTGGATATACCCGGCTTCATCAATCGGACGGCGTTTTGGGCGGGAAACAAAGCTATCCAAAGTGGATATGATCAATTGCTTTTATTTCGTAAGCTTTGTTTCTTCCCGTCTTGATCTTTTTTTCTCTCTCTTTTTATATCTCGCGCACAGCTATTCGAGATCTCCACTGCTGTAATGGTTGGTTATTTTGTTTTTGTTCTCTTATGCTTCTTGTTTCCATGATTCTTCTAACCCCGGCCAAGATGGTCCGATGTGTTCATCTTCAATGATTACAGGGAGTGTGCGTGACACTTCCTTACATTTTTTTTATATCCATGAGTCTTTGGATCCTTGGCCTTGGCAACGTGGAGATATCATTCCACGATGACGAGACAAGTGCCAAAGAATTAGTCAATCGATTCAATAGATGTCAAGATGCTTTATTGTAAGGTAGAAGTGGCATTCGGAATCTGTAATCAGCTTATAGTTGATATGTCAAAATGAAGTTTCTTGGGGGTTGACCTGTCCTGTATGTCTGGACAGTGGACCCGAGGACCAGGTGTAGGGAAGGTTGAAACCAACAGATATGGCCTTACCGACGAGGAATGGGCAATGCGACTCATCAGTGCATGGGTCCACGGGTTGTCTCTTCAGGTCTTACGTCAGACATAGGAAGCTTCCAAGGTTGAAAAGTACGGGATTCTCGAATCTAGGATGGTGCGAGTGTTGGGAGTATAACCTCCACAACTTTCTTTCGCTTCTCTTCTTCCTAGATGACACGTCTGCCTACGTACAGAGATATATCAACCTCACCAAGTTGATATGGTCCGTGGAGGTCTATCGCTTCTTTTTGGGATATCGTTGGCCTGGCTAAGTATTAAATGAGCTATAACGGCCGAGATATCAACAATGCACTTGTCTCTCCGGGCAGAATACCCGATCTACTCCGACATCTTTTCAGCCACAGCAAAATAAACTGATTTCCTCTCCGGCAAGAACATGGTGAGATCACAATCACTCGCCAATCACATGGCGCATCCGCTTTGAAGCCTCTCTCGGACTGTGAGGACCAGGGTGTTGTTTCCCGACTGGGTGTGCCTTCGGGTTCCTGGCCGAGTGGGCGTTAGGTTTCTTGGGCTTTCTTCATATGGGTCTGTGTACGGAGTATTGAGATATGCTGTGTCTGCGTTAGCTACACCGTACCTACATGTATCTAGGTGTGTTGTGATAGGTGCCCTGGGGTCCATTCTTCCAACCCAGGTTGGTTGTGGGTTAAGAGATGGCTTCTATCACAATATACTCTCACTCCCTAGATTTTTTTGCCTACGACTATGTCCCATTCATGGTGTCGGTGCCTTGTGCCTTCGAATCACCTGAAATATGCACCGGATCTGGATGACATGACCAGTACCGCATTCGCCAAATCAAGCTCTAGGATCCTAGGTGCAGGAATGTCAGGGGGTCCATCATGCGTTTTATCGATATTGGAGATATCGTGGTTTTTTTTTTAAAAAAAAGGATATCAAAAGTTTGGGAAAAGAGCAGAAGCACCGCGAGATTGTTAACGATTTAAAAAATTATAGACCGGGCCTAAGTGGATCTCTAGCAAAAATATATTAGCTCTCATTACCTTTTCTTCAAGTCATAAAAGCAATAACAAAAGTACCATCACATATCACATATCACACATGTATGCGGGGTTAGGTATAGCTCAGCTCTGTACCCGACACAAGTGATGCGAAAACCCTGATCATTCTTGTCCAATTGGATATGCGAAGAAATATTCACCATCACATTACCCAAGTTAATTGACCATTCACACGGTTGATAATTGGTCATGTGGCACAGCTTGTGCAATAGCTGCATTCTTGGCTGCTTGTGACGAGCGCTCTCTCCTGTTGATAAGTAAAAGTGCTTTGCCATATTATTTCAAAATATTCTAAGAATCACTCTCTGGTGCACACTATGCCTTCTCCTATTCCTCAGCCCCAGGGGCTTCCAATTCTTGGAAATATCTTTGATATGATCCCTGGAAATACATGGGCTTCTTTGAATAAGCTGGCAGCAGAACATGGTGGTGCTGGTATTTTCAAAATCAAGATTCTCACCAAGCAACTCGTCTTCATTACAAATGCAGCTCTACTCGAGGAAATTTGCGATGAGAAGCGCTTCCGAAAATGTGTCACCGGTCCTATTGTCGAGATCCGCAATCTTGCCCATGACAGCCTCTTTACTGCGTATGACAACGAGGAAAGCTGGGGCATAGCGCATCGAATCATGGCTCCTTTCGTTTTGCCCGACGCCGTCAAGGAAATGCACAGGGATATCCAACTCACGACAGACGATTTAATCTGGAAATGGACTTCAACAGACAGCACCGGGCAGCGTGTGGATGTCTCCAATGACTTGGATCGACTCAACCATGCCGCCAACATGAAATGCTTCTTCGGTCAGCATGTCGACTGTGTCCTTGGTGAAGAACCGGCTGTTATCAAAGCTATGTCAGATACAACCTTTGAAGCCATGCGTCGGCCCACGCGACCTAAGCTCCTTACTCGGCTCTTGTACCAGAGTACATTCGACAAGGATATCAAGACTTGTCGCGACTACTGCGCTCAGATGATCGCTAAGCGACGTGATAAGCCTATACAACAGCGGGATTTGCTGCACGCCCTACTTCACGAAAAGGACCCGAAGACCGGAGCATCCCTTGCAGACAGCCAGGTCATCGACGAGATAATCAACATTTTCATCGGCAGTGCCACAGCCCCAAATCTCATCTCCTTCACTCTGTACTATCTCGCCAAAAACCCAGTCGAGGTCACCCGTGCCCGTCAGGAGATTGACACCCTCCTCGGTCCCTCCGGCCAAATCGAACACTCCCATCTCTCACAATTGCCCTACTGCGAAGCTATCCTCCGCGAATCATTCCGTCTCTGCGCCACCGCCCCAGGTTTCAACATCGAGCCTTTGCCCACCGATGGTCCGGTCCTACTTAGTGGAGGAAAATACGAAATTCCCAAGACCCAGACCATGATCGCAATCCTGTCCGCTGTCAACCGCGATCCTGCTGTCTTTGGTGACCCCAATGCTTTCAAGCCTGAGCGCATGCTCGGCGAGGCCTTTGACCGGCTTCCAATTGGTGTGAAGAAAGGGTTCGGAAATGGGAAACGGGAGTGTTACGGTAAGCGGTATGCTTGGGAATGGTCCTTATATGCACTCATTCGCATCATTAAAGATGTTGATTTCGAGTTGGCGGATAAGGAGTATACATTTGATATGGAAGGGAAGAATTTCAATGGTGCTTTCAGTGTCAAGCCACTCGGCATGTTCGCAAGAACTAAGAAGAGAAACACTGCCGTTGAGTCTGGATAAAATGGTACATATATGTACGGGATTTATATCATGTTTTGAGTCTTGCGGGTTGTGTTGATACCAGGTCTTGCTTTTATGTCTCCTACCAAATTGCCGTGCGACTGAGAAAGTACGTTCGGCATTAATAAAGCCGACAGTGATATTAATTTTTTACTTAATTCTTGCTTTGTGGCCGCATGACTTTTCGAGACATTGAAGACCAGCTCAATAATGGTATAACCGAGGCTCACACATCAACCCCGTCTGTCTGCTCCTTCTTTTTAGACCATAGTCGTTTCACCAAATCTCTGATGGAATGTTTCGCTCCACCGACATCATAGAGCGGCCTATGTTCTTCGTTGACATCATGCATATAATCATAATCAACATGCACAAAGGCTCGTTCGACATCCGCGAGACCTTCCAGCTTACGCTGCAGCGCTTGGCTTACATCGTGAGATTCCCGAAGCTTAGTCTCAGGGTCCATGACGATGTCAACCTCAACATAGAGTTGCTGTCCGGAATGATAAGCGCGACACTATGTAACGTCAGCCAAAATGCCAGTAATCAATCCATCCAATCCGCATTCACAACGTACCGTATCCACCTTCTGAATCCGCTGATCATGAGTCAGTGTCACATAGATACACTTATTCACGAATTCACGCGGGGCGCATTTTCCCACAAGCAACCACATATTCTCAAACGCAGTTGACGCCCACGAGAACAAGATAAGCAGCGCAATGCAGCACGCGCCCACAGGATCAAGATACCAGACAAATCGATCACCCACAATCGACATGATCAAACCAAACCCATTAACAGCCAGGTCATTGCGGTGATCAATGTAAAAGACATGAGCAGCCGGGTACCGGCGCAGGCCATAGCAGTACAAGAACATAACGAACTTGGAGAAGATAGCAACGCCAACACAGATCAGCGGCACAATATGCAGCTGTTCAGACTCGGTCTCGCCCGCCGCAAGCGCCTTGGCCGACTCAATGATCAGCTCCACCGCCACGATGGTCATCAACGCACAGAACATGATCACTCCCATGGTTTCGACGCGGCGTCGTCCAACGGGATACTTGTATGGCTTTGGGCGTGAGGACATGCGTGACGTGACGAGCATAACCACAGACGAGACGAGGTCCATGAAGGCGTCTGCGGCGGTGGCGAAGAGAGCCAGAGAGCCGGTGCTCACGGCTGCGTAGAGTTGGATTACGAAAAGGAAGAAGTTGACTGTGAAGCTGGCGCGCACGGCGAGCTTTACTTTGCCGCCGTTTTGGGCTTCGTCTTCGGCTTTGAGGCGCTCTTCCTCGCCAGCGGTGAGGAATCCCTCGATCATTTCATTTTGTTCTTTGTAGAAGCCGGTGAGTTTTTCCTTGTCGTCATTGAAAGATGGGACCCAGTTCTTTTTTGGTTGGGATATGGTTGTTTTGTATTGATTGAGGTTTAGAGGGTCTTCAGGGAGTGTCATTTTGTATAAGACCAAAATCGGTCAAGGAAGGTCAAGGTAGCTCAAATATAAAAATTTTGGTATAGAGGTAGGGCTGAAGATGAAGATCAGATAAGACAAAAAATCTTCCGACCTTAGGTTTAGGGGTAAGCTCACGCCAAGACGCCCGGTGTCTCGAACACCTCCAGCGCCTTGGCATCGTGGCAGTGCCTGCGGAGTTTCTCTTGGCTTAATGGATTTGACGAGTTATAGTACGAGTTGGGATGTTAAATTACTGGGGATTTTTTTCGGTGGATGGTTAGAAACCAGAGCTTCCAATCCCATAAGGAGTTGAGTGTTCATCTTAGTGATTTATATGGGTCCAATTTTTCGACAACACAGATTTAACTTTGTTCTAGCAAAGACAATAACGAATTACTACTCTATAGAGGGTCTGTAGTGCTTATGAATCTTTGTGTAAGCGGGAAATTGTTATTAACTTCGGACTGTTTTATGTTGTTGGGTATATCTCATTGCTTCCAATATATATATCCACAAATTCATGCCCTATTAAAACCCAATTTAGACAATACTTATGATGTAGGCATGTAGTATATTTTCAAGGCAAACAAAGATACGCAATATCTAAAGCATCTACTTCCAAGCCTTTGAAGTACCAAGGTACGAAGTTTACCTATAGAATCAAGAACCAAGAACTAAAAGAGCCCTAAAAAAAGCACTAAACTGACCTCATTGGATTCTTCGAAATCCAGTTCGCAATCCATGCTTATGAATTACATTTTTTTTAGTGATTCCACAAGATTATTTGGGTTTCAATCCTGTATTTGGCATCCCGGGCTTCAGATCTATCCTTTAGCGTCATATCTAGTAAGGTTTATTTTCCGAATCTGCTTTAACTCCTAAGGGGGAAACCATAAGTCACCGGGATAGACTGATGGGTTCTCCGATTGGTGCCAAAAGGCCGTCCGCGTCAGAACCCCGGTAATATCATTCCACGCGTTATAGCTTCCTGATTCAATACTCTCCTTGATCGGACTTTTTCAAATATCAAGTGACGTAGGGCGGAGGTAAGCCGAGCTTACTCACAAAAGCAAAAAAAAAGGAAAGGAAAGGAAAGGAAATCCGGTTCCCTAGAAGATCTATGGAGGAGCTTTTCCTTACAGCGTTTCCCCAGAGACAACGTCCCTGCATAAGGGCGAGTCGATCTATCGCGAATTCAATAATCAAGGGAATCCATACGGAGGCTATAGCTACGAATCCCAAGCTAGACTTAGGCAACTCAGGAAACGATCCCCATGGCCAAAGGTGAGGGGAGGGAGCTATGAGAGCTACGAGCATTCCTCGAGCATCCGAGCTCCCCAAAGCCTTGGGAGCTCACCTTCCAATCGCGATCTTTGAACAGGCATGTTGACAAGCGTGTCACATCAAAGCTCTTGAATCAGAGCTAACTAAGAAAAATTGTCCGGTGATCGGATCATTTGACTTCAATCCCTTCATTCCTACTCCTTAGCTACAGCTGTAACCTCGCACGGCCAGCTCGGGTCCTGGATAAATGTGAGGAATGTTAGAGCGGATTGTCATTCGGAGGTTTTTTTTACCAATTAATCTTTAGTGTTTAAATAAAAAGAGCTTGACAGCTCGGAGTTCAAGGTTCGGAATAATTCTCCACGAGATTCACTGTCTTTGCATTTCGCCAAACATGGCCTCCAAGGTCTTACAGAACAACACCAACAGCAGCTGGATGAAAGATCCAGGGCTGCGAAAACTAAACCTGGGGATCGGGTTTATGCTATCTGCATCGGCTACAGCCGGATATTGTGCTAGCATGATCAATGGCCTTCTGGTGCTTCCTGAATGTAGGCATCTATACATCTATGATATATGGAACATAAGGCTAACCCAAAAAAAAACAGTCTCGAAATTTTTGGAAGGTCTTGACACAAATGCGAGAGGCCTTATTATCGCAGCTGTCTCGCTTGGATCTTTTAGCTCCTTCATCCCCGGATCTTACATCGCCGACAATTTGGGGCGGAGGATCTGCGTGCTCATCGGCGCCGCGCTAGTGATCATCGCCTCAATTATTCAAGTCGCCACAAACAATCATTGGGTCTTCTTCGGTGCTCGTGTTCTAGCTGGAGTGGGAGTTGGGGTCTCACAAACAGCTGCACCATTGCTCATTACCGAATCGACACATCCACGCCAGCGACAGGCCTTCACAGGTCTATACAATGCACTTTGGTTTATTGGGTCAATCACATCAGCTGCTATTGGCTTTGCTGGACTCACCGTTATAGGGAGTTGGTCATGGAAACTCCCTGCTTAACGCAGGTGTTTTATCCGGTTCTTCAATTGATAGGGCTTTGCTTTGTTCCCGAGAGTCCAAGATGGCTCGTCTCTCGGGGAAGGAAAGAGGAGGGAATGGCGATACTGGCAAAATATCACGCCAATGGAGATGAAAACGACGAACTTGTTCAGGATGAATTCTACCAGATTTGCAAGAGCATCAACGCGGAATCCGATAAGAGTTGCCGCCGCTGGAGCACTTTCTTCAAAACCAGGAGCAACATGCATCGCCTATCCATTTGTGTGATTCTGGGATTCATGCAAGAGTGGTCTGGAAATGGTATGCAAAAAGAAAAGGTCCCCTTTCTTCCCATCCGATTTCTAACCAAGTTTTACAGGCGTGGTTTCTTATTATCTAGCTCCGATTCTAGAATCAGTCGGTATATACAACGCATCTCACCAGGCTGCCATCAATATAAGCATGCAGGTGTGGAACCTGGGATTCGCTGTCGCCGGAGCAATGGCTGCAGACCGGTACGGACGACGAAAGCTCTGGCTAATCGCGACAATGTTGATGTTCATCTATCTCTCTGCCGCAACAACTATGTCTGGACTTTTCCAAGAGATGCATGTGCTAGAAGCTGGCATTGCTGTGGTTCCCATGCTTTTCCTCTTCTGCAGCGCTTACGACATGGCATATATGCCGTTGTTTATTGCATACCCAGCCGAAATCCTGCCCTTCCAACTTCGCGCCAAGGGTCTTGCTATCACACTGACGACTGATTCGATGGCTTGCTTTTTCAACCAGTTTATTAACCCGGTGGCCTTGGCGGCAATCCGCTGGAAGTACTTCACGGTGTATCTGGGCTGTCTTGTGATTTTCATGGGGACGATCTACTTCCTGTTCCCGGAGACTAAAGGCCTATCTCTGGAGGAGGTTGCGAGGATCTTTGAAAAGGAGAAGACTTACCAGGTGGAGTCGCACAACTCGGATGTTTCGCAAGAGCTGCTCGTGTTCCAGCAAAAGGGCAGCACCTCATCCTCATCCTGATTGTGATTGTAATTTTTGTTGCTGTTGCGTGTTGTAATTACGACAGTGCTCGGTCCCGAAACAGTTCCTCGCAGGCTAATCCCAGCAGGCCCCGATGTTATCTATGTGTCTTTTGCTTTTCAAAGTTCATGTGGAATAGCAAGTCCTATAGATATGTAGAGATTATCCACCATTGTCTTGTGGTGTCAATTCAAATTGGAAGTTTTTAATAGAACAGATATAATGACAATTACATAGCCAAGGTCATTGGTATGTGAGCCTAGTTGTACGTATCTTCCCAAGGTTGGAAGATTCAAGATTGGAATGTATACATTTTTACCCACCAATTAGAAACGACCAATTGCTACTCACGCTAAGCCACATCTGAACTAACGCCTATCCTTATCCAAAACCCGCATATCAACTTAGACAGCGTTCAAGCGCGAATAAGTGTAACTGATCAACACAAACTCCTCTCGCCAATTACGCATTTCAAAAGAAATTACATATCTCATTTAACTTATCCAACCCCCAAAAATGACGAAATACGAAACAGCTCTCCAGCGTATCGACGCAGCGCATGCCGACGACCCCCGCCAAACCCAAACACCCACCGGCCCAATCCCATACGAACTGCACTACGCTCAAAAAATGACTAGCTACCTTTCAACCCTGAACCCATCCGCACCAGAACTCCTGAAGCTCGCAATCCGGGCCCAACACCTGCGCCGCTGGGAAGTGCCACGGGACAGCTACCCCGCCACGAAGATCGGATATCACTCGTGGCGGGCGGGACTGCAGAGGCGACAGGCTGCGCTGGTTGAGCAGATCTGTGTTGAGAGTGGGTATTCGGTTGAGGAGGCGGCGAGGGTTGGCGCGCTGGTACGCAAGGCGGATCTCAAGCAGGGAGATCCTGATACACAGACTCTAGAAGATGTTGCCTGTCTTGTCTTTTTGGATGATCAGTTTGATAAGTTTGAGGCTGAGCTTGCGGATGAGGAGAAGATGGTTGATATTCTGAGGAAGACTTGGGGGAAGATGTCGGAGCGGGGGAGGGAGGAGGCTTTGAAGATTCAGTTGTCGGAGAAAGCGAAGAAGTTGGTTGGAATTGCGTTGAGTGGGTGATTCTTTGGATTGGGCTTATACGATTCTTTGTTTTATATATCCATTTATCTAAGGTAACCAGTACATAATGCCTATTTGAAACCATGTAACTTGATGTCGTCAATGGGAAATGAATTATGTCTCGTTAAATGTGTATAATACAGCTTTTTGTAGCTCTCCAAAACGCCCGCTGGTAGACCCATAACCCGAGTCAAACCAGAATGAAAAACAGTGGGAGTAGAGAGAAAGTCAAAACTCCGACTGTTGCAATGCATGAACGCTCAATGCAACGTGAACATCATCAGTATCATCATCATCAGGGGCGAGTACTACCCATATCAATGAACTGGACCAGTCCAATCGCCGCACCAGCAGCAACACCTCCAACGCAACACATTTGCATTCCGCCCCAAATCCCAGCCAGTACATTGGCCCGGCCAGACCAGCCGCGCACAACACAGGTCTTGACATACCCAAACACAAGCAAGGTGATCGCCATAACACCAATACTCCAGTACAGCGCAACCATCACCTGCGAGACAATGAAGTAGGGGATAAGCGGAATAAACCCGCCAATAAAATAACCCAGCGCGAGCGTGGTGGCCGAAGTCCACGCCTGATTGCAGTCAGGCGCAATCTCTCGATGATGGAAAGCAAGTAGGAATTCAAGGAGGCGGTCTTGGGACGCATGCAAGTCACGCGTGATATCCGCAACCGCCGAGTCTGAGAGCCCGTACGGAGAGAAGGTCTCGCGCACCATGGCGCGAGTCTCTTGCGAGTCCGTCTGGATTAACTGTTGTGTTTCGCGGACTGTTGTTTGATAGGATTCACTGGTCTCTGTTAGTACATATGCTAATTGGTTGTCAGGTGTGGATAGCTTACGCTTCACTCTTTGCGCCGACGTATCCACCAAGTCCCATGGAGATGGCTCCGGCTGCCAGTTCGGCAAGTCCACCAAGCACAACCACTTTTGTGTTTCCGAGTGCGGAAAGACCCGCGCTCAGGGCGAAGGGAACCGTCAGCCCGTCTGAGAGGCCGAGGATAGCATCTGAGACGATACGTGGGTTGATGCGCGCGCGGGTGCTGCTGTTGCTGGTGATTGTGGTTGTTGATTCGTCGGGGCTGCTGCACCGTCCGAAGGTGTCGTAAGAGCGGCCGCTTTGAGACTCGAGGTCTGGTTCGGAGTCTCCGTGGATGGTATCGTCGTCGTCAATGCGAGCGAGGAGCCGCTTGCCTAGAGTTGAAGCGCCGTCAGTATATGCCTCTGTCGTTGTGCATTCTTTCCTCTGTTTACCTGGGTGTATTTTGTCTGATTCCTTTGTAGGGAAGAGCTTCTGCTTGAGGAAGAGGAATGCCATGCTGATCCTGGAAACTGCTACCAAGATATGCTTTTGGATATCTCCAAGGTACGATGTATAGCAGAAGTCCACGCGATTACAAGCCGGCGAGAGAGAGAAGACGAGATGAAGAAGGCCAAACTGGAAAATAATTGCGCTTTATTTGATCCAATAGAAGAATCCAGAATGGGTTGTCTTAGTCTCAGATATCAACGAAAGACTATGAAACGAAGTATGGAGAGAAGAAAAAAGAAATCACTACAACGATCGGACACGTCTCACCCCTTTTAATATCCACGGACTCTCACCGATCTCAGTAATTCAGCCAGAATGAAAAAAAAAAAACGATAAAAAGCCCACAGTTTATGCAGGCCAAACAAGAAATAATGGAGGTTTATTCGCCAAGAAGGGGATCAGGACCAATCACAGGGCTCTCAAATGTCAGCATTGATAATCAAGTGAAGGTCTAGGAGTTACGGTACATGAGCCTTGTCCACTTTGGTAAGAAAATGGCAGCGAGTCACTTCAAATCCAATCGATGCGATTGGTGAAGTATGCTGTGATGACCTTTGATTGTGATGTGATTGGCTGCAAACGGAGATCCGCATTTCAGTGAGTTTAGTGGGTCCAATGAAGATCTATGGATCCACTACCACAATTCTGATTGGTTGGATTCTAAGCTAGAGCTCTGAATGATCGCGGCTCTCCTTTGATATCCCCGAGATCACCTAGTTCGATTGTCAACATGAGAGTACGAAGTGCTATGCACTTGAACGGATTCTTTGCTCCGAGCATGCTCCGAGTATTCGGACAGCAAAGCCATGGAGACCGGTATCTCCGACAATTAACCGAAAGAAATAATGAATTGCCCGAGAGTTTGAAACCCGGTCGGAGTTACGGCTTTCGGAAATATAGTGGACTTGATGTATCTACTCCGCACCAAAACCTGACTATTCAGTTAAACATCATTACACAGAATTTATGTGAATTGCTTGGCATTATGTGCGACGAAGGTTGCACCAGCACAAATTCCAAGACATGAAAAGAAAGTGTAGCCGACTTGGTCCTACAGAGAGTGTTGACATCATGTAAGACATCGGGAGATAATAGCTAGGTAGTTCAGTCCTAATTGGATGCCTAGTTGCATCTGAGACGGATGAACAAGTACATGACTTGAATTACATACCCGGGTGGACTTTGCATCATGTACTATTAGGCATGGCCAAGGTTGGATGTCTTGAGTAGGTACATTTTTGTTTATTTTCAAGGTCAATTCACTTCATACACTGTAAGGATGACCGATCATTACCTATCGGCCCTCTGCACGCTCTACCAGCTGCTCCTCCAATCCCATTGGCTCCCAGATCTCCTTCGCCTTCTTATTTTGCACCCACACCACATCTCCTTGAACAAAGACCACCGCTCCACCCTTGCCTGTGGCACTGGCCGTAATACGGAACAGGGGTTGGCCGTTTTGTGGATGAGCTTCACGCAAGGGTAGCATAATAAGTCCCTGCTCCAAACACCAGCCCTCCAGGATGTCCTTGAACGCAACTTCTTCCACGACGGGTGCCTTAACCCGGGGTTCGGGAGTAGCCGCAGCGGCAGCGGCAGCAGCTGCTGCCACCTGATCTTCCCGGGTAGGAAGTGTCCGTACCGTAGTTGGGCGTGGGAGTTCGGCAGCGGCACGGTCGCCCAGCTGCAAGGCAAGGTCCATAGTTTTCAAGCCCTTGTTCCATTCGTCATCGACAATGGCAAGCTCGTTAACCTCCGGCGGGATTTGAGTGCCCCACCAAGAGAACCAAGCTCCGACCTCCTCGTAATTGGGGTCATTGGTGAGCCAAATGTAGAGAATCTCGTGCCACTTGGGGAAGAAATCAGAAACTAGTAATAGTCCCATGACATTAGGCTGGAAGAATGACTTCCAGCATAAGACATCCTTGAGCGCTGTAAGATCTTGATCCTGCGGGTTCACAGTGAAGTCCTCGCGAAGATGGCGTGCAAGACGTGGCAGCAGGTGGTTGCGTAGGCATACATCAAATTCGGACCCCAGGGCATCCCGCCAGATCTCAACGCGATCGACCAGACCCTTGCGCAGACTACATGTGTCGAGTACCGAGCGGAACTTTCTCTTCGCGTCAGACATGAGACCAGTGGGCTGTTTCGGGTTGGTGTGTCGTTCATCCAAGTATTGAAGCCAAGTGAAGAGCCACCAGGGGAACTTTCCATCTTGTTCAGAGCCGCCGTGCCGTCGGCTAGTTCGAGGTTTCCAGTTTTTGAGGGCTAAGCCTAGCTTCGGAACGACCAATTGGTCGAGAACGTTTGCATACACAAATGGTGGTACAATCGCCTTCCAGGCCACGACCAGCGCGGTTGCCTTGGACGGGTCGTAAACATCCCAATCATTTAGGAGTGCTGAGCGCACTCGTGGGAGCCAGAGGGTATAGATCATCGTTTCGTAAGGTGAGGTGGATGCCCGTTTCCGGGGCTCTTCCAGCTGGTTCGTGCGAGACAGAAGAGGCTGAAGGCGGGTGAGGTTGGACACGAGGAAAGTGGGATCTTGAAGAGGTTCCCATTCGTCCATGGCCTGGCGGAATAACGGATGTAGAGCCGCGACTGCGGTCTCTGGGATTCGGTGCTCATCAATAGAATCTCGATATTTGATTTCAATATCTTCAAGCTTGTTCGTCATCTCATCAAATTTGGTCGCGATGCTTTCGTCGTGTTCAAAGATGTCTAGTTCTTCCACTGCGGCGATTAGGCCTGTGAGATGATTGACCCGGGATTGATATGCATCCAATTCGTCCACGACCTGAGCTTCTTCGAGTTCGATGAAAAGTTTTCTTTCTTTCAATCCCTTCCATTCATCTGCAAATGCTTCCAGATCATTCCGGGCCCGCTGGGCAATCTTTAACGCTTCTCCTTCCTCTTGACTGACGAATTGTTGTGTCGACATCAGGCCAGCAGTCGAAGTGAGAATGCGCTGCTCTTTTCCGGTGGCATCGACAAGTGATTTGAGAACATTGGGAACTTCCAGTCCTTCCATATCATCCTCAATTTCGCGCGCTGTGCGGAATTTGGGTTTGGCACGCTGGATTGGTGTACCTGTGCCGCTCCGACTCTGTGTCTTGCGCTCCTCCTTCTTCTTTCGCCGCCGCTGCCGTTCGTCCTCGGAGCTGTCTTCGAGAATCTCGCCCTTCTGTGCAGCTACTCGTCGCTCTTCTTCGCGGGTCTTTTTCGACTTCTCACTCACTGCGCCCAGGCCTGCACCCTGGGGACGCGCCTGTACTTCAATCGGGTTGACGATACCTTGCCCAGTAGTTCCAAGACCTTGTCCTTCCCTGTAGCCCATCTTTGCCATCATGCGCGCGGCAAAACTGTTGGCTCCTCCTCCACCACCACCACCTCCCATGCCTTTCCCACCTCGTGACGATCCTCCACCTCGAGAGTTGGCCATGGTGTTCCGGATATTGCTGGCTCCACTACCTAGTCCACCCATAGTCGGAGGCGTCACGGAGCGAGAGGCAGCTCTGGCGAATCCCCGAAAGCCGGTGGTCGGGCGCGTGTTTTCTTCATCGGAGCTCATATCAGCGACTTTGCGCTTCTGGCCAGAAAAGGAAGGCGACTCCATCTTTTCAGGGGTTCATTGGCAGATTGTTGCCAAATGGACTGTCCCCTCTGTTTTCAGCAAAATGGTAAAAGTACGCAAGTAGTGTCATGGCAGAATGAGTCGCAGTCGAGAGCTCATGAAATTCACGTGGGGATCCGGAGCGGAACAACCGAGCTCCGAACCGACGAAAACAAGATGACGTTAGAGTCGGTTACTTCATAGCTCCGCCTTAAACTTTTTTCTTTGAATTCATTTGTCTCTTACAATTAACGGCCTCTTTATTATTTTCACCGTACATTCACTTCCAACACATATCCTCACAATGGCTGCTCTTCTTAACAACTCGGCCCGTGTTGCCCTTCGCTCGGGAGCTTCGGCTACCTCCAAGGCCGGAGCTGCGGGCTTGACCTTTGCCCGCGGCAAAGCCACCCTCCCCGACCTTTCCTGTAAGTTGAGTGTTTCAGTACATGCTGGAGCTCTAGAGGAGCTATCTTTATCTAGTATATCTATTTAGATTAAAAATTTCATACTAACGTCTAAAATAAGACGACTATGGCGCCCTTGAGCCCTCCATCTCCGGCAAGATCATGGAGATTCACCACAAGAACCACCACAACACCTACGTGACCAGCTACAACAACACCATGGAGCAGCTGCAGGAGGCCCAGGCTACAGGCAACATTGCTGCCCAGATCGCTCTCAAGCCCGCTGTCAACTTCCACGGTGGTGGCCACCTCAACCACTCCCTCTTCTGGGAGAACCTTGCCCCCAAGAGTGCCGGTGGCGGTGAGCCCCCCTCGGGTGCTCTCTCTAAGGCCATTGATACTACCTACGGTGGTATCGGCGAGTTCCAGTCCAAGATGAACGCTGCTCTTGCCAGCATCCAGGGCAGTGGCTGGGCTTGGCTCGTGAAGGACAAGCAGACTGGACAGATCAGCATCCGCACCTATGCCGTAAGTTATGATTGGCAAATACTCGCTTTGATATGAATTGTTCCAGTTACTAACCCCTTACCAGAACCAGGACCCTGTTGTCGGCCAGTTCGAGCCTCTGCTCGGTATTGACGCCTGGGAGCACGCTTACTAGTAAGAATTCCTGTTTTGATGATCCGTTGCCTATGCTAATTATTTCTCTAGCCTCCAATACCAGAACCGCAAGGTTGAGTACTTCTCCGCCATCTGGGATGTCATCAACTGGAAGGCAGCTGAGAAGCGCTTCGCTTAAATCACCCCATTTGATATGTAAATGCTGCTATGATGTCTTGCGCTTATTTACCCCTATATTGTAGCATGTATTTTTTCAATATATATTATCAATTATTCGGTAATCTAAAATGATCCTGTTCACCTATTTCCTGTTCCTGTCAAATGTCGACCAATGCGGTAGACCGGGCCGGGCGGACCGCGTCATGCGGAAGATCACCGCAAGCATCCGAAACAAAAGACCCTGATATTCTCAATATGGGCCTCGAACACTTGCATTCATTGGCAACTCCATGATGTCGGCAGAAAGTCCTGGCCAGAAGCATGGCTTCAAGTCATTTTTGTCCAACGTATTGCGTCCCAAGAAATCCCGCCAAACCCTCCGCAAGGGCAGATCGACCACAGACCTGCGGCTAGCCGCGCGCCCCAGTGTCGAAGAAGCCCCTCCGGTGCCAGAGCTGGCTCCATTGCATGCCCATAGACTCAAATACAAGGAACTGCACGCGCAAGTGGACTCACAATTGGGTGAACGAAGGGATTACACAGAAATCATCCATACGATAGGCGCACTCGACGTCAACGAGATCAGCGCTCCAACCTACGACCACAATGAAGATCGACCCCCAGGCGAGGGCGACATAGCAAGTCTCCCACCAAAACTATGGGCGCAAATAGCAGGATACCTAAATCCCGCCGAAGCAGCCAGCCTAGCATTCGCCAACATCACATTATACCGAAGACTAGACGGCCCAAGATACTTCAAGGCTCTAGACCACCCAGACAACCACACCCAAAAAATCAACTTCCTCTCCGGCCTGGACATCTCCCTCCCACATCACCTCCTCTGCTTCCCCTGCGTAAAATACCACAGACGCACACAAGAAGGAAAAGAACGCATCCGCCCAACCCACGTCCTAAACCCGCTCTTCAACTGCCCAAACTCAACAAACGCCCTGAAACCCCCGCCTCACCACCGCATAACCCACGGCCGCAACCTCCCCTTCACGTTCGTGCAACTAGTCATGCGCGCCCACCGCTTCGGCCCTAGCTACGGGCTGGCCGCAGAGGAGCTTGGCCGACGCTGGCAGCGCGACGACTGGTCGCACACATCGCGCTTCCACATCAACGCAGGCCGGCTCCTCATGCGTGTCACCAGTCAGACCTTCGCGGACCCGGGTCTCACGCCATCCGCGCAACGCATGCTCCTGTACTCGCGCGAAGACTACTGGCCGTACTTCAGCTCGTGCGCGCATTGGCGCGACGGCGAGCTGATGCCGGCATGTAAGTGTGCGCTGGAGCATATTCCGCGGCCGCGGACTACTGATGGGTTGCAGGGGCTCGAACACCGTGTGAAGGACCGGATTGCGGGGCAGGTGTTTGATCCAAATGCGCTGACGACGCTGTGTGGGTTTTGCCGGCCTATGCGGAGGTGTCCCGAGTGTCCAACTGAGTATTTGATTGAGGTTAAGCTGAGTGAGGATCTGGTAGATCGCAGGTTCAAGCAGTGTATTGTTGTTACGCGATGGAGTGATCTTGGTGATGGCACTACGCCTGGTGGGATTGAGTGGGAGGCTATTAATGGGAAGACGGATGCTTACGATTCTTTTGTGCATTATGCTAAGCGTGGGATTGCCAGTATCTTTGAGGCAGCTTTTACGGCGGATACGCTTCCTGGGCAACGGGTTGTTTCGCTAAATCCGAAAAAGATAAAGCTTGGAGAGGCGGGGAATCAGTGGTACTAGGCTTTTGGATGAGATCTAATAGAGATAGAAGGCTTTCTTTGGGGTTCTTTTGATATCTATCATGCTCTGTGTGCTGTATATCATGGCTGGGCGTTTTGGAAAGTGAAAAAGACTGGAGTTGGGAACAAACCGGACCGAAAGACTTGGAGCTTGGAGTTAGATGAATTTGAATTTGATATTACATTTGATATGACATTTGATATTGGACCCTTTGCTTTTGCCTCAAGTGGCCTGTCCAGAACTAAAATATCCTAGGCATCGATATCAACTGTCAAGTCTAGACTTCATTCTCTTTGTGATGACTCTAGGCTTACTCTCGCCTCAAGAAGTGCTTCATTCGCACTCGTCTTTACCATCAAGTCACATCATTCCATCTCTTTTGTCCCAACTAGGCAATAGCACCACACATCCATTGGCACCTGCCGCCTGGCCCTTCCTGTCTCTTCCTGTCATTGAAACTTATCCTCTCTACTTTTTCCACTTACTCTCCTAATCTACTTCTATCACTACACAACACAACTTAATCAGCCCACATCAGTGATATCCGTCGCGATGTCCATTTCCCAAAGTCCCAGCGCCAGGGGCACCCCGGGCACTATTATTAGCACTAACACTCCTCCCACGCCCCAGGGCAGCTACTGGAGGGCATATGGTCCCGACCACCCCCAGGTCTGGGCGTAAGTCTTGAGGTCATCTCACCACTGATCCTAGCTAACGAATGTATATCAGGGAACCAGGCAAATTTCTTTGTGACTGCCTAACTCACAACGAGTGGCAGTGGCCCACCGAACATGCCGAGCTTGTGCGTATTCCAAGCCGATAACCTTCTTTAAGTTCGAGGCTAACGCACGCTTCGCATCGTTTCTAGACAATCGCACCCTGCGCATACAGATGTCCCTTCTGTGACGAGTTCAATAAGGCCGCAAGAACAAAACTGATGGCCTCGAACCTCCGCCGCCACATCACCAAAACGCACATTGTAAGATCCTGATATCTCTCATTGGTTGAAGCGTTACTCATATCTACTAGGAAGGGTATCCTGGGCGGTTCGGTACACTTGTCGTCGCGGCTGGAGTGATAGGGAGTCGGGGAGACATACCTCGTTCCGCGTAAATTGACAGTACAGGGCTCGAAATTCTTCACATTCTAAGTGATCCGCCTTCACAGTGATGGGAAGTACCATTTGGGCGCGCCACAGCCTCAGCTGTAGTTACCGAGTCGGTGAACCCATTCAAGACATAAAACGACATGATGAGCATATGGGGTGAAGGGAGGAGGACATGTTTTGCGCCCATTCAGTTAGCATCAGCTGGCCGCCTCGCGTAATAACACACTGAATGCATACGTTGGGATATCTTTGAGACCGTAGTCACTTTTGGTACAGTCATTACAAGAGTAGTTGGCCGCTTAAAAGTGTACAATGTTCTTTCAGTATTATAGCATATCAGATGATGTGAACATAAATGAAGTTAATCCTGCCAGCAGGATCAACATCACGGATTGAATTTTAGATCCTCCCAAAAATGCAGAAGCCTAGAGCCATATTTCGCATATGTACCGGATAATGCCTAGCACTCGAGGCCTTCACCTTTCCGTTTTAGTGGTCACCTCTTGCCGCTTTTTGATCTCAGAGTAAAACTGAATAGATTTCGATTTAAGGCCTTAGGACGTTTTCTTCGAGTAGGGTCTCAGGTGCTAGTATTAGCAGATTTCCGGACCGGTCAACAGCGAAACAATGCTTATCATATTATGGAGTATTAATGACTGTCTCACAAATGATTCTTTAAGAGCCATATTTGTCTGCATAATCAAGAAGTCCGAAAGAGAAAAAGAGGGATAATAAGAGACTGCCTAATGTACAGAAATCATAAATGATATAACTTATACAAGGGGCGTCCGCAACATTAATACGGATCGGGCTAGTAGTATCATAAGTTGATTTCTATCTCACAATCATTATACGGGCTTTTTCCTCTGATTCTTTGACTTAGGCCAGGCCAAAGCTCTTTGGGCTTCCGCTTATGACTCGATGCTAGAAGACGCGTTATGAGCTGACCGGGGTACAGAAGCATCGAAGATGGCCCTCGAACAACGCCAGTCCGACATCCACCCAGTCGAAATCGGAGTCCCTATTTAAGACTTAGTGTCAAATCCTCATTAGAATAGTTAAATATTTGAGACATACTCGGTACCGTCAATGGTAAGGTCGAAGCGACGGAAGAGGTTTGCGAAGCTGAGATACAGTTCACACCATGCCAGGCTATCAAAAGGTACGTTAGCTCGCAACATAATTACTATGTTCGTAGAAAATTTTCATACTTAATTCCCAGGCAGCTTCGAGGCCCTTTGGAGAAAGGGACAAAATACTTATCGAGCGCCTTGGCGTTGTTGCTTAACCACCGGTCAGGATTATACACGCGCGCATCGGTGAAGGCATCTTCGTGCTGCATCGGGAATAGAACTCCCATGCTCACGATTGTCTATATCTCCTTAGTATTTCTGAAATAGTTATAATGGTTCAGATACTTACCCCGCCAGGAATATGTTTTCCTCCAATTGTCGCTCCTTGCGCTGGGACCACCCTCGAATTTTCCGAAGTCGTCGTGGGAGCCATGCGAAGTGCCTCCTTGATAACAGCAGTCTATGTGCTTGTTATCAATACCTGTCATTTCAATGTTCGGAGATGACCTACCAAGTAGGGAAGCTTTTCTAAATCGCCCGCGTTGGGTCGCTGCTCGAGATTCGGCCACGCCTCCAAGAGCTCAGCCTTGAGCTTAGCGTAGATTTCCGGGTTGCGCAGAATCTGATAGGTACCTATAGTGAGGGTTGAGCCGGTCGTGTCCGTTCCTGCAATGACCAGTGCAACAGCCTCCTCAAGCAGACTGGCCCGAGATGGGATGGGAGTGTCCTGCTTTTCCGGACGCATCAAGGCACGGTAGACAATGGGATGGGGATACTGATTTGGCTTATCAAGAGCCATATTTATCTCGTCGATCTGGTCAGAGAACATCTGCGCATCACAATCAATATTGGGCCAACTCTTCTTTGGTGAATTCCACTTACCTTTCTCATTTGTGCAAAGGCAAGGGCTTTAGGAAACAAGGCCAGTCCAACACCCTCTGGGATGCTCAAGACAATTCGTCTAAACAGTCCAAAATGTTTGAAAATCATGAACCAGGCCACAATGGACTCCATTGCCTCCAAAATGGGACTGGCAAATCCTTCATACTCAAAGCACGAGGCGGATTTCCCAAAGCACGTCGCCGTAATGGTCTCGAGGCCTAGACAGCGAAATCCCAGTGTCATATCAGACGACACTCCGCGTTCATTGTGCTTGCTAAGGTGACCACAGAACTTTTCAATCTACGAAGCGAATTAGCACGTGGAACATAAAAACGCTCTCTCTGCTTACATTTTCCTGGATCAGCCATTGGACATTGTACACGGAGCTCTTCGCAAAGAAAGTATGCAATATGTCCTTTCTGCGCTTGTTGTCCTCGTACTTGACGAATGTCACAGTGGCACCATCTCCACCCAACAAGGCATACATGAAGGGATCTTTATCCCACCGACGACGATAAATCTCATCATACATAGAGGGGTGGTTAAAATGAAGCTATACGCTGATCAGACGGCGTTGCCGGTGCAAAATAGAGGATATAACGTACCCTGCTAGGGCCAATTCTGACAATGTCACCTAGGAAACTGTTAGCTACTGCTGCCAAGACTCGAGATCCCAACATCTTGTACCGTATTTTTCATGGAGGCTCATGCAAATGTGATGCATGGAACGTCCGCGAATAGCCTGCTGGTACGCAGACCACCAGGTCGTTGCAGCTGCCAACTTGGGCCCCGGAAATTCGGACAGCGGGCTGAAGAAAATATTGATAATGGCATCGCTAATGAAACGTACAATATAGATGGCACAAGAAAGTCCAACAAGCCCTACCATAAAGATAGGAAGTGGCAATTCAAAGAGGTATTGGATCGCCATGCCGAAATAGGGTGATGGTGACAAATGAGGGATGAAGGAGAGAGCTGTATACGACAGATCTTTTTACTTTTAAATTATGCATCATACACAGCCTTAATCAAGACACTCCTTTTTACGCCTTATCGCCGACATCGCAGTGCAATTGTTCTATTTATGTGACTATAATCACCAAGCGGGTAGCGATGCTACATGGTAAGGATTGTCGTTACGAGAAGCAATGTTCGCCTAAACGAAATCATGCTAATGCAAAAGTTTACTCGTTTACAATATGCGTTAGTGCTTATATATTGTATGGTGATCTTTGACGTTTTGGGAACTGACGGCTGTACGAAATATTACAGCGCCCCACACGGGAAATACCCCGTAATACAAAGAGTTACGGAGTATTTAACGCCGGAATTATCAGGCCTCTCCGGCCTCCGATTAACTAGTTAGTTGAAACTGCTGCGGCTGCGGCCTTATCTTCGCTATGGGTTGCCCGTCAGATGAGACCCACCTGATCGCATGCATGAAACGAAGAAGAAGAAAAAAAAAAACCAGGTCAAAATGCAGGGAAATTGTCAATCGAGTCTTCTCAGAATTCATTTACCCTAATTCGTGCGAAGTAGTATGGCATTCCCAAAAACCGGCATCAATACGGAGATCCCTTGCGACCAAACATGGGATCCGGAAATGCAAGAAAAGAACAAAGTTGAAGATCCATCAGATCCAGCGACATGGCAGAGTGTAAGTCCAGCATCAAAAATCCTGGAGAAAAAAATAGTCCTAACTATGTCTCCAGAGGAAGAAGATTTTCGTGGTCTTTGTTGGCCTCCTCACGTTGTTTAACAGCGTCTTCGATTCAACTATCCCGAGCGGTGGGATTAAGTTCATTTCCAGGGCCCTGGATGTCAAAAGTGAGACTCAACAGGTGCTCCCAACCTCTGTCTACCTGATCGGGTACGTGACAGGACCTCTGGCTTTTGGGCCCATGAGCGAGCTTTACGGTCGGAGGCCAGTGATGGTGGGAACTTTCGTTCTTTTTACTATATTTACCCTCGCATGTGCCGTTGCGCCCAACTGGCCGGCACTCATTATCTTCCGAGCTCTCTGTGGCATCTGCGCATCTAGTCCGATTGTCGTCACTGGAGGGATTTTCGCCGATGTATATCGCTCTCCTCTTGCCCGGGGACGAACCATGGCACTGTCAATGGCAATCACCACGGCTGGTCCGCAGTTTGCACCACTGGTTGCGGGATTCATTGCACCGGTTGAGTGGAGGTGGATCTTTTGGTTGTCGCTAATTCTCGCCGGTGTCACCTTGGTTCCGGTGCTATTTCTCCCCGAAACATTCAAACCTGCCCTCTCTCGTCAGCCACGAAAGCGCGGTGAAGGCATTCTGGTGAAAACCTTGACTCGACCGCTGTACATGATATTTTATGAGCCAATCATAACATTCACTTGTCTTTACTTGTCCTTCGCAAGTGCGATCTTCTGTGAGTAGCGCATTTCCCGAATATCGGTCTGGTAAACTAATGTGAGAAGTTATGTATTTTGAGGCGTACCCCTTGATCTTCCAAGGTGTATATGGAATGAGTGATGGTATCGCTGGACTGGCGTTTCTTCCAAGTATGCATTGACGTCACCAAATGGATACAAAGTCTGGAGCTAACTCGATGTTAACTCAATCTAGTCGCTATTGGAGCCTGTATCGGGATGGCCATATTTCTAGAATATGACTCGCTTCTCCAGCGCGCAAAACTGCGAAAGGCCACATGGTCCACAATTGAAGAGTATCAACGACTTCCTTTGGCATGTTTAGGGGGACCACTCTATGTATTGGCCCTGTTTTGGCTGGGCTGGACTTCATCCGTGGAGATTCATTGGATAGTCCCCATGCTGGCAGGAATACCATTTGGAATGGGCTTCTTCCTCATCTTCGTGGCTCTGATCAATTACTTGATTGATGCTTATCACGAGTACGCAGCCAGTGCGATGGCAGCCGCTAGCTGCTGCCGTAGTGTTTTCGGAGCAGTTTTGCCTTTGGCAGCCGCTCCTATGTTTAACCGACTGGGCATAGCATGGGGTTGTAGCCTGCTGGGATTTTTGAGTCTTCTGATGACCTTGATTCCGTTTGTGTTCATCCGTTACGGTGGTCTTATTCGGTCGAGAAGCAATTTCCGGCAACAACTTCAGCATTCATGAGATTTATAGCCTAGAAATACAGATGGCAAACAGTAAATAATATTGAAAGGGAGATAGTGTATTCCAATTTTCCGCACCAATTTTATACTGAAGAGAACAAAAGCTATCTAGTCAGTATTCAGGGGAATTGTAGACCTGAAGGGGCAACTTGAGATGCAATGTTCTAGACCACCCAATCGTTACCTCAATTCGCATAAAATATTCTCTAGCAATATAGCAATGATAAAAGGTGGGAGGGATAGCCACATCCCTTGGTAAAGGTACTGGCACCACGAGGGCCACTTGGTGGGAGCCGGTACCTTCACCGTCATTTTCGATCCATTTCAGTCCAACACATTTATTCCTCCATAAGCATACGCTTGTTCGAAAAGCTTTTCCATCCGTAGAATTTGGGAAATGCATCCCACCGGGCAATTCAATCATCGGTGATGTTGTCAAATATGTTGCAGCTTCGATAGTGGCGCGAAGCTGGCACTGCTGTGGTAGTTTTGTCGACGTCTCAATGCCTTCCAATTCCAGATCGAGGTGGATTGAGGTTATTTCCGGTCTTTGTGGGGTGTCAACGGGTAAATAGAGGGATTTTGTTTGAGGGCCACGGAGAGTAAAACTGCCTGTCTTTGTTGACAATAGCCCGGTTCGTAGCTGAGTTGTATCAGAAAGTTGGACTTCGCTTCTGTCCCCCCAAAGTCGAGGTGGTCTCTCCGGTGAAATTGGAAGAATCCTGACTTGTTTCTTTGCGTGAAGCTTCTTGCCACATCCAAATTCAACCTCAGCATGAATGTAATAGTCTATGCTACACACATCAGGGCAGAATTTGTCCCAATTGTAATCAATACTAGGGGGCAACTGAAGATGGCCGTCAGAGCACGGGTCGAAGGGAAGAGCAACCGGAACCACAAATGAGACGGGGAAAATCACATAGTTGTAACATGATTCCGGCGTCTCTGTATAGTCGGCGTGGTACATTTTGAGGAATATGTAGTCGACAGCGCTGCCGCTATCGGGTAAAGGCGTCATCTTCGTCACAACCGACCGCATCCTTCCTACAGAATTTGTCAGTCACTATGTGCTCTTGACAACAGTCTAGGAGAGTCTTCAAACCAATGAGTGACAACGAGACGCGCAGATTCTGACATGCGCTGGTTCTCTGAAGGACCAGCTCTCCTTTGACAGTTTCTTCGGTCGTGTAGACTCTATCCTTCGAGTGCAGACGAATCTCCATTTTGAAGCCTGATCAGATCTTTGATTGTAGATGGTATGTTAACGCTTCACTTTGCTTGAAGATCAAAATCAATATATATATATATATGTATGTATACAGGAAATTTTACTAAAACGACAGGGCGATCAATCTTCCTTGACCCTAAGACGGTGAAGAGCCCGACTCTCATATCCTTGCCAGCATCCCCTTTGTCGCTACTATGGCCTCGCCTATCTAAAAAGAAACGAAGGGAAGGGCAAGGCGAGATCAAGGATGGTCTAGCAGAAATCACCCCGTACCGTGTCGCCACTCAGATGCAGCTCCTCGGTATGAGCTTCCATTCCATGTAGGTCCGAGTGGGGCGGGCTAGTGCCCCTAGTCTACGTGGGGGCCACGGCTGAAATTCAAGTTCGAGTTAGATCAATATCAGTAGCGTTACATTTACTAACTGCACATACATGTCGTGCTTACGCGGTTCCTCCGTTTCGAGTGTCCGATGGCGGCGATACCAATATTGATACCAAAAGTGATCGGGCCAGTCTTGGAGAATGCCTTGAGGTGACTTGATAAGGCGGTCATATATAGGTCAGACTCACATCCGTCTGAGGAGTGTCGGTCGGAATTCCGTTGTCTTCCAAATCTCCGCTGAAACAAAACACTGCTCATCATGTTGCCCCCGCCCACCGTTGAGTCTGTAAACGGTGAGACTGACTGTTGTGATGTGTCCACTGCATAATTGACGCGCATTTGTAGCCGCTCTGGCCCCGCCCAAAAACCATCGCGACATTTCGCGCGTGCGGTTTGCCTACAGCTATCTAAATGAGATCCCAAAGTTTTTGAAGCCCCAAGGCCTGGAATATACCGTGGTCCCTGGGCTGAAAAGATCTGTCAAGTCGGGGCAACGGTTACATTTTACGACGCCTAATGCATTCACATTGGACCCCGTCGCCGCCGGCCTGCCATGGCCAACAGGGTTGGACTGTATTCGCCAGAGCAAGTTCTGGAAAAGCGGTTTGAGCATCTCAAGCGAACTTTTGGAGCTGTTTGCCCGCGATGAAGCTATCAGTCAAGCAGTCAAAGCGAACGGCAAGTCGCTTGGCAGCATTGCGGCGCACGAATTGAACACAGTGGAAGAAGATCGTTTCACGAAATTTGCCACTTATTTGTTTCCGGAGGCAGATGAAGGTCGCATGAGACTGCTGGCCGCTTCGATCGTGTACATTGTGATTTTTGACGGTATGTCACATAGCCGCTTTTATGTCAAATTTCCATTACTAACAGCCGGTGGCAGACGCATGGGAAATGGTGGCAGGAAACGAGGTGAGAAAATATTCTCAAACTTTCATGGCTGTCGTCTAACCGGCTCCTACTCTAGCTGAATGATGTGAGAGATGGATTCTTGGACCGCCTCCAGGGTCGTGCATGCCAGACTCCTGAGAGTGACCTTCAGGCCCTCATTACATCTACAGTTGATGGATTCCATGAAATGGATGCCCAGGCTGGAGATGGAGGACAAGAAGTTATCGACCGTCTGGTCGACTTTTGCAGACACGTCCCACCAGCTCAGCAGTTCGATACGCTTGGGGACTATCTCACATATCGTCGGATTGATGCCGGAGTACCGTAAGTTGGTTTATCTACCAACTCAGTAAACATTGGCTAACCAAGTCGATTAGTTACATTCTGGCGTGTGTCAAGTTCTCCATTTCGTCGGATGTCGAGATTGAGAGCCCCCAGCTGGAGAAATTCCTGCGGCTTATCAGCGACCACGTTTCACTCGTGAATGACCTTGCATCCTACGAGAAGGAAAAGAGAGCCTATGATCAAGGTCGGACATATCATCTGATTAATACTGTTGAAGTGGTTCAGAGGCTATTTTCCTTGCCCACAGAAAACTCAGCCAAAGCCCTTGCCTACGCAATGCAGCTACAGGTTGAGGTAGAGGTTGAACAGGAGCTGGCACGGATGAGAGATAACAATTCGCTTACTGCGGAAGAATGGCAGTTTGTGGATGCAGTGCTGACAATGACGGCGGGCAATGTCTTTTATTCGGTGGTTTCGTCTCGATACGGTGGAGAGAGTACGCGAATTCTGGAGTGAACTTTAGATAGCACTGCCATCAGCCATGTTTTCAACTCCATACAAAATTTCGAAATATCGAAATGATTATGCTCCCTTAGCTCCCTTTAGACTGAATGAATTGTGCAATCACAGCGAGTTCTCGCTTTCCACTTGGGACCACATGTCCGCCCGCGTGCCAAATGACAATTGGCTTCTTTTCATCCTTCAGCTCCTGGCAGCTTTCTACCAACCTCATTGATGTAATTTCATCAACGACACTATCCATACTCCCCAGAGAATGCAGCGCTGGCGTCCGACTGGAGGGTTTGTAGAAGGCACGATAAGCTGGGTGTGAGGCAGCATATCCCGAAATGCTGACCACAAATTTGAGAGGGAGGGTGGTCCAGAGTGGCGAAGAAAAATGGATATGGAATTCCATCTTCCGCTTCCAATCGGGCAAATACATCTTGTCTATTTTCTTCCAAAAGCGATGCAACCATAGCAGCCGCAGCGGCACCTTCGCTGAAACCGATGACCCCATCGAACGGCCCAGAACCCTTCAGAATAGATCCGACGGAGTTCAAGCCATCTCGTAACCCGGAGTAAAATCCATCCATAGACTCAGATTCGAACCAGCTCCATGCGCCGTGCCAATCACGCAATTTGGACGTGCTACTGGAGGAATCTAACGAGAAGGGGGCCGTCGGATAGACAAATTTTGCCTCATAGGACCGAGGGTTCGCTTAATCAATTTTTCTAGGGCCTAGAGCTTTGCCCTGAAGAGGTCCCCCGATTGGCGGGATCCTGTAGTAGTAGTGGTTAGCTTAAGCTGTCCCGGTATTTCTGATGGGTGGGCAATACCGTGGATCATCAGGATTTTCATGGTTGGAAGTATGTCAGATCTCGGTGAGATGAGAGTGTTACTCAATGCAGGGGCGCACATGGTCATACAGTAATGGCGGCCGCTAAGCAACGCCAAGGCCCAAATAGACCTCGCCACGGCCCGTGAGGCCCGTGGGTTTTACCAATATGGGCGGGCTGGCCGTCTGACGGCCCATGGGCCGGTTACTAAAAAGAATTTGATTCTCACGGCATTTTCATAATTTCACAATGTTTTAACGACGTAAATAACCGGATAATGTGTAGGTGAATGCTCACATTTAGTTTTCTAAAAGTTGAACCCCCCTCCAGGGCTGTTTGAGAAGCTTACATAATTTGATGTGTATGTGCCCAGGCGGTCCCTGGACCCATTGATGCCCACGGGCGGGCCGGTACTGACCGGGGTCCACCCATGGGCACGGCCAAAAGAATAAACCTTGGAAGTGACGGGGAGTTCCGGGTGGGGTTGATCCACCCCTAGTATGTTTAGCCCAGCAATAATAAAACCAGATACGGCATCGTAAAGAAGCTAACATATTTCATATAGCGCAGACTAGGTTAGCACGATTGATAACAGCTCTTACTCGCGTAATTTATGTAAGATTATCCGGAAATATTGATTCAATTTCCTATATATGGGGTATTTATTACATATCTGGGGTCAGTAAATGTATTACCTCAGCATGAATTTTTGAGTATATACAAAAAGTGCTATTCGTTGGAGTGTTCTGCCGTCTACGGCCCACTCTGGGAATACGTTGCCGTTATCGAGAATTCCTGAAAGTCATCACGATGTGTCAGAACCCCCGGGGCCGATTGATTATTTTAACTATCTTAGCCATCCAATGGAATCGACCTTCTTATCGTCACATGAAGAAACTCTATTCCAACAGACATAGCCTAACGTCAACCAGCTCATCACACCTGGCATCTAGAGGCTGATGTTACATCCCAAGGCTGACTGTGTTTCGGGCTGACGTGTCCTACTGTCTAGACATGCTTTATAGCCCCATTTTCGATCCTCAGATATAACCGAGATCGGAAATTGAACCTACATGGGATGGACGGTGCCTAGGTATGGTTGGGGTTTATATGGTCTTGGATCGCAAGAAAGTCTGATTCTTCAACAATATTCTTTCTTCATCTTCGACTAGCTAGTCTGTTCTTTTTTACCTTTTTGCTACTTTATACTTCTTGAGTTCAGTTCAAGATGACTATCCGACCAATCAGTGCAGAGACTCGGGCTGCAATTGCAGATCTCATTCTGCTCCGGGAACAATTCATCAAGAATCGTCTTATTTTCGTGGAAGGTGCCCGCATCATCCCCATCCTCAAGGTGCTGGGCGCCACCGACAAGGATCTGGAGAAGATGAAGACCGTGAGCAACACTTTGCGCGACGATCCGACTCTTCCATTCCGAAAAAGCAAGAACGGGCGGTTCTACTTCGATTTTGAGCAGTCGCAAGTCCGCCGTCTTGAATACCAGCCCTTCGCCTTGTCGGCGGAAGAAGACTTTGTGCGGCACGACTCCGGCCAGACCAGAAAGTTCCAAGAGGTCGACGAAGATCTGCAGGGTAATTCGACCCTACATGCTCTGTTGGTCTTCAAGGCCCTCATCTTCCGCGGCGTCCCCATCAAGCAACGCCCGAAGCTCAACTATGACACTGAAAACTTTGTGTGCACCCTCTTCAACTTGCGTACAGTGACCAACAAGGATCTTGTGGGTGAGCCCGCGCTGGAGGGCGTGCACAGTGATGGAGTCGATTTCACCATGACGACCTTCCTGGGCAGCGAGAACATGACCAGCGACAGTGCTGTCACTTTTGTGCATGATATGCGCGCGAAGAACGCCCTACGCTGGGATGAAGTCAATCCCGTGCACACCATGGGCAGCTACCAACACCGGGACTTCTTGGACACCCTGCTCTTCGTCGACCACGAGAGGAAACACAGCCTGTCTCCCGTCCACGCTGTCGATCCTGTATGCCCCGCCACCCGGGACATGCTCATTTTCTTCACGCGTAAGCCAGTGGTCGAGGGTCACATCTCGCACCCCTATGATTCGCTGAACCCTCACCACTCCCTTCCTATGCGGGTAGAGTTGGCGTAGGCAGGTCTCTACCTCATACACTAAAATAATTTTCTCTTTTCTTTACCCAAAATGATCATGTCTTTCTATTTTTTTCTGTGACTGCTCTATTTCTCGGCTTCGGAATAAGAAAAAAACGAGGGAAAAAAATAAAAAATAAAGGTCTGCAGTGCATATGCCAAGAGAAAGTGGCGTTTGTCAGGCCGTTGAAGAGCAAAAAGGAGATAAGGGTAGATTACGATCTAAAAATAAATACACTAGTGTATTTAAATCTATATAACACTACAATTACATTCAAGGTGTTCCTTAACAGTTTGTTTCATGTATCATTACTCCGCTATCGCAGCCCAAAGATATAGGTAGCCCGTCTAGAATACTAAATACCTGCTTCTTCCAAGGTTGTCTCTTGTCGCTTTCTGAAGCTACAAGATAGTATCTAAACCAAGTCCAATGGCAAAAATCTCCGACCTTGTCGGCCACTCCTGGGAAGGCCGTCTTCCGTTATCCTTTTCTGTCTGGGGTATTTTACCTCTTCTTCTCATAGTCTTCTATTTCGCAAGAGCAATCCGCAGCTATGTGCTACTCAGACAATTTGATGGTCCTTTTATCGCCAAATTCTCCCGACTATGGATGATAAGGTCGGCCTTAAGCGGTACCCAGAACACGCGACTGCACGAATGCTCGAAAAAATACGGTAAGAGGGAGTCCAATCCATCTAGACTTGCATTTAACAAGGAAAACTCTTATTTTTTTTTCGATATTCTCTTAGGTTCAATTTGTCGCATTGGTCCCAAGACTCTGCTAGTGTCGGATGCAAACTTCCTGTGGAAAGTCAACAGTGTCCGCGGCGAATACATTCGCTCGATCGCCTACACGGCCTTCAGGCTCGAGCGTGGTAAAAATAATATCCTCAGCACGCGCGACGAGAAGCGGCATCAGGATCTGAGGGCACAGATGGCCGCGGGTGTCAGTCATGGGGAATCCTCCTCCCCAACAAAGATCATTACTAATGCTTTGCTAATGTGTAGTATTCCGGGAAAGAGAACCTGCATTTGGAATCCTCAATCGACCATCACGTCAGAAAGCTGCTGGGGTTGATTGAGCGCAAGTATCTCTCCTCGACATCGGAAGGCTACCGCCCCATTGATTTCGCGCGGACCTCGAGCTACTTCACGTTCGATGTGATCACTGATATCGCCTTTGGGTGCCCCGCCTCATACCTGGATGCTGATGAGGACAAGTACGATTTCATCTCCAACGTCGCTTCTATGTTCCCAGTGATGTGCGTGACCGCAGTGATCCCCTCGTTGGTCCAGCTCACCGAGGTAGGGTGGATCAACAAGCTTCTGGCACCGTCCAAGAGTGACCGAATGGGTATTGGGAGGATCATGGGGTAGGTTCCCGCCCTTATTTTTGAGGCAAGGGCAATCATCTGACTTGCAATAGAATCGCCCGTGCGACAGTGGAGGAACGGTTCACCCCTGGCCACCCTGACCGCGGAGATATGTTAGCCGCTTTCATACGCCACGGTTTGAACAAGGATCAGGCCGAGTGCGAGGTTATGCTTCAAATGTAAGTTGCTCTGTTATACATAAGTATGCAAGCTGACGGGGGCTCAGTCTGGCTGGCGCGGACACTACGGCCACTGCTCTCCGGGCTATTCTCCTGTTTATCATCTCCAAGCCATCAGTAGTTCGCAAAATATTGGCTGAGTTTGAGGCGCACGGAGTTGGCTGCCCGAGCAAGGTATCAGGCATGGAGACCGAAATCGTGTCGGTCCAGCAGATCCAACAGCTTTCGTATCTGGACGCGTGCATCAAGGAGGGTCTCCGATTGCGCCCTCCAGCGACAGGTTATCTCCAGAAAGAAGTGCCACCGGGTGGGGAGACGCTTTCCGATGGGCGGTTGATTCCAGGCGGTACGGGCATTGCGTACTGTGCCTGGGGGGTGATGCGATCCCCCGAGGCTTTTGGGCAAAACGCGGAGATCTTTCACCCGGAGCGGTGGTTAGATTCCAGCCCCGAACAGCTGCGACTGATGAAGCGCCACTGGGAGTTGGGCTTTTCGACCGGCAAGTGGCGCTGTCTTGGTAAGGATGTCGCACTGTTGGAGCTGCAGAAGGTGCTTGTGGAGTTGCTCCGCCGATATGACATTGCTGCGGTGGACCCAACGCAGCCGATGAAGAGTCGGAATTACAGTCTGTTTCTAGACACAGATTTTAGACTGGTGATCACTAGAAAGAGTTAAACAGACTTTGCGTACTCGCGCATAATTAGTGATGGTATAACTCAGTATATTGAATCTCTCCGTATTTCTATATACGCGCTCCTTGCAATTTAACGTATTCGGTAAGCCAGTGGTCCATCCCAAAACACATAGTAAATGCGATAAATTACAACTTGATATAGAACGGCGCTCTGGGTACGAACCGTAATTTTCTATTCTGAGCTGTGAAACCCTTAAATTACGTGTAGAACTGCATTCAGAAATTGTATATAACTATTCTTACTTCCAAAGTTCCGCATCTTTCAGCCTGAGCAAGGTCCCAAGCGTCTTGTCTTTCATAGAGAAACTTCGAATTCCAAGCACATCTCTATTTTAGTCTTGCATACTTTGGAGCACTAGAAGGGATGGTTGTCAGTATTTTAACCAAGTTTTGGAGGTTGTTCTCGGTAAAAGCACGTACGCGCGGAGACATCCATTTACTCTACGTTGTATACAATGTGCAAATATGGACAATTTGAATCGGTCGTGAATTTTAATTCATACGAATGGCCATGTTCGATATTAATTCGAATCGAAATGAATCTGTCAAAAGTTCGATTCGATTCGATTCGTGCGGAGCGGTATCTGGTTAAGCGTCGCGCTAAGTGACCCGAGTTGATCGACCCCCCAATCCTTCGCCATGACATGTCTTCCTTCCCTTGACCATGCAGACCATCCGTGCCCCGCGAAGCCGGAGAGAGTTTACGGTGAGTGTGTCGGCAATCCCTGTCGGAGCTGTCTAATTAAACAACAGGGATGTTGGCGCTGTCGAAAACGCAAGGTGAAATGCGACGAAGCTTCGCCGTGCTCGGCGTGTCAACGACTGGGGCTGCAGTGTGATAGTTCTAGTACACGCCTCATCTGGCTGAATGGCAATCAATCTTATCGATCCACCGGCCGGCGATACATGTACTGTGGTATGTGACCTCTGGGTCTGCCACTCATCGTAAACCTCGGCTCACTCCGAAACAGAACGGACATGGGAGAATTGTGCCCCTCTCGACTCCGACGTGCTAGATATCTTGATCGCACAATGCGACGAATTCGAGGCGAATAAATTCCCGTGTCCTGCAGTGGTCGACCACAACCCATTTCTAGTATTCCCAGCGATGCCCCCCACCTCGTTAACGTCAACAGTCAACCTAGTCTTGGCCAACGGTGGTACTCACGCGAGGCACGCTAACAGCGAGGACAAGTTTCTCTTTCATCACTATGTCAATTATGTGGCGTCGGTCATGATGCCCTTTGAGCACCCCTGGAACCCTTGGAAGCTGTATTATCCATCGGTGTCACTGAAATACTCCGTGCCGGGCGAACGAGCCCTGTACCATGCCGTCCTGGCCCAAGCCGCCTTTAATTTAGCCCATCTAGGCGGCGGCACCGCAGATATGATGCGCTTGGCCGCGAGGCACTATAATGCTTCCATCCAACACATCAATAATGGTATCCAGACGTCTGCGGACAAGGACCCTGGGCCCATCTTGGCGGCGATCATGACCCTGATGATGGCAGAAGTAAGAACTATCACCCACTTGAATAGAGATAGAGATAGACTTACCTTTTATTTTTAGGTCTACAGTGGCCAATCCAGAAAGTGGAAGCACCACCTACAGGGGGCGTGGGCCTTTCTCCTCAACTCCAACAGCAACGAAATCTGGAACCAGTCCCGATTCGCATGCTTCTCTATCCAGAGCTTGCTGATTGTGGGGATTATCAGCAGCACTACTTCGACGGACAACACCTACTCTCCTTTGGCGCTGACGCTCGGTCTTCCACATGTAACGGATCGCATTTCCCCAGCCAACTCAACTTCAGTAGACGCTCTTCCTCCCTCGCCAATCAGTGCCGAACTTGCATTTGGGGCCTCTATCTCGTCCACTCCACAGTTCGGTTTCACAATTGGGGCCCAGAAATCCCTTCTCGAATGTATTTCAGCCATCACCACCGTCAGCCAGAAAATGCGATCGGACCCACCCGCCAGCACCCAGTTCGATGCCGACCGTGCTGTTTCCCACGTCCTGGCCTGTCTAGGGCTTCTCCAGGCACAGGCCAACGACGGCCCGCCCTTCCACCCAGACATCGACTTGGCTCTTTCCACCGAGCCTGATCAGCCCGCTCCTCATGTACAGAACCTAGCACGCTACCAGCTCAACGCATTTATCTACGCCACTTATATCTACTTGTACCGATCGCTGATGGACGTCCCGCCGAAGCGCGTCGCGACATATGTGTCATTGACATTTCAAAATATTTCCGCATTCTGCGCCCAGAGTAGCGGGAACTTCTCGCTGTGGCCAGCCTTCATCGCTGCGGTCGAAGCTTACACGGAAGAGGATATGGCTTCGGCGCGGGAGTGGCTTCAGGGATCCATTCACTTTGGGCTCGGAAACAGGCTTCCTGTTAAACGAATCATCGAGGAGGTTTGGCAGAGGAGAGAAAATGCGCACTTCGAAAGCACGATAGATAAGGGGCTCATTACTGTAGACTGGAGAGATGTGGTGAGAGATCTTAGAGTGGATATCCTGCTGGTTTAGTTGGATGTTTTACGAAAGTTGAAGTTCAATTATGCTCAATGACCGTGATGCCGTGCTATTTCATGAAAAAGCCTTTCTAAAGCCTTTCTAGAGTCTTGCGGGACGCGTTGTAAACCTTTTGCCGCCCTCTGTCGTCAGCGAGCCTTTCTCGATCTTCCCAGTTGGCGTTTGTTTCAGTTCTTCCACGATCTCAATCACCGTAGGTACCTGGTGCCGTGCCATATGCTGCTGCGACCATTGCCATAAGGCGTGCTCATCAATTGTACTCTTATTGCGCAGCTTCACCGCGACCTTCAGATCATCTTCAGTTCCCGCTCCCAGCTCGCTGGGAATCGCAAACGCAGCGACGATGACGACATCGGGATGCTGCAGAAGCTCCTCTTCCACCTCTAGAGCATTGATATTTTCCCCTCGCCGTCGAATAATGTCTTTGATACGGCCAACAAAGTAGACATTGCCGCGTTCATCCACCTTCGCGATGTCACCTGTGTGCAACCACATATTGGCATACGTTTTGACCGTATTTGCTGGGTCATTAAAATAGCCCTGGAAGAAGGCATTCGGGTTTTCACTGCGCAGCAACAACTGACCCGGAGTATTAGGGGGCAGTGACTCGTCTTCCTGGTCGGCGATGCGGAGTTGGTACCCTGGGCGCAAGATGCCACATGATCCTGGAACAAGAGGGCCTTCTTGCACAATAGGGATGCTAGCCTCCACACTACCATACAAGGTACGAAGTGGATGGCCGAATCGCCGCTCATAATCGTCAGCAAACGCTGGAATTGGAACGCCCCAGGCGAGTCGAACTCCATGCTCCCGATCCAGTGGGCTCGGGGGCTGCTTGTAGATCAGGGCTAGAGTCGCCCCCATGAAATCATACACTGTTGCCTTGGTCTCCCGGATCTCGTCCCAGAATCGACTTGCCGCAAATCTGGGAGACAGAGCGGCGGTAGCACCAAGGAGAATGCTGGGAATAACGGTAAGTGCAGTTGCATCTGCGTGGAATAATGGGAATGGACAGTAGAGCACATCCTCTGTCCGGAGCTTGCAGCTTTCCATCAAGAGCGTGGCCTGGATAATGAAGTATTCGTGCGAGAGTATACATGGCTTGGATTTGCCTGTCGTTCCGCTAGTATACAAGAACGCAGAGGTAGTAGCCGGTGTCGCAGCGAAGGATTCCTCAAGGGGTTCTTCGCTGAGGTAGAGCTTGGAAAGGTCCTGGGCACTGCCACTCCCAAGGATCCAGATAGAGTCGCTCTTGATTACACCAGACGCTTCAACTAGGTCAACAAATTGGTTATCCACAATTACCAGTGTCGCATCTGCTGCAGCGACAGCATTTTTCAACGTCAACGACCGCCAATCGGTGTTGACCGGAACCCACACGGCGCCTAGCCGGTTGGTAGCCATCCAGGTATGAACCATCTCGACACTATTCTTCATCATGACGAGCACTCGGTCGCCCGTTTGAACTCCCGCTCTGCGCAGTCCACTAGCGAGGGCGGCCACGCTGCGATCAAAGTCTTGAAAAGTAACATCTAGGCCCTGACAGCGAATGAACACTTTGGTAGGGTATTTTCTGACAGCTGTCTTCATCGCAGTATTGATATCGCGAATCTTTGGCTTTGTTTGCTTTCGGTGAGCGAAATTTTCGAAAGCGTCGGCTGCCTCCTTCCGAGCAAAACAGTAACTGGCGGTGTTCACCTCATCATGTAGAGTCGATTCCATGTTTGGGAAAACACCTCGCTCGAGGGACATTTTGAGGCTAGACGACGCTGCTTTTGGTAGCTGCGCAATTTCCAACGCCAGCTCTTCAGCACGTCCTTTCGGGTCTTCGGCGATCTCAGTGAGTAGACCGATCCCTAGCGCCTCCTGGGCTCCTATAGTTCGACCACGGATGAGAAGCTCTTTGGCTTTCAGCATGCCCACCATGTGGGATAGCCGCAGCGAAATTCCACCTGTCACGGCATGACCCAGCGTCACTTCGGGAAATCTGAACTTCGCATTGGGGCCACCCACGACGAAGTCTGCGGCCAGGGCAATCTCTGCTCCGCCGCCCACCGCGTATCCGTGTACGGCAGCCACCACGATGGCTGACGATGAAGAGGTCAGTCGTGTGATATCCTGTAGTAGACCGAAGGCGATGCGGAGTTCCTCTGCAGATCCCGTACGGGGGGCGAGGGTTTCCTTGAGATCCTCGCCAGCGCAGAATGCGCGGTCCCCCGCGCCTTCTAGAATGATGACATGAGCGTCTGCATGAGCGCGCAGTGCATCAGTTAAATGACAGAGAAGCTCAGCGTTAAGTGCGTTTAGGCGCTGGGGTCGATTCAACGTGATCTTGACCACGCTTGCGGCGGGGTGGGAGATGATCACCGCCATAGAAGACATGATCAAGTCAGGAGCCTGGCTTGAGAATGGTTTGATAAATAATGATTTGCATCATGGTGTGACTGGGTATATAAATGTGTTCGGCGGTTCATGCTAATCGATATGAAGATAGAATCACGGCAACTCATACCGAGATAGCGGAGATGCCCTGGAAGAGAATGTCACATCTTGAGAGGGCGTGACTTTTATTGGATGGGAACCTTGTCGTACCCACTCTTCCTGCGAAAAATCACTAGCTAACTGGTAGACTATAATTCCTTTATATAGAGTAGGTGCGTGTGTAATAAGAAGTGGAGTCAGAAAGAAGTTGAAATATAAAAACAGGTAATTTATCATATGTGGGTTTAATAAATGCGCTAGTCCTAGATGATTTACTGGTGGGACCTGAGGTCTCAGATTCAATATGTATACTTCAAGTTGGCAGATCACCCAGGAGCTGTAATATAATACAAGGTAAACATACATGATACGTTACATTACATTCAATAATTACTTACTAAGCTTTCTTGTGTACCTAGGTACCTAGGTATGTATAGGTACAAGAAAACATGAGATGAAGTAAAAAGAGCTCATAATACACAAAGGCCATTCAAATGTTTCTGAGAAGTGAAGAAGAAGAGCAACAGAAAAAGAAGAAAACATGTAGCCATGCTACTGTGTATACAGGGCTGGGTATCATATAGTACAAAAGGAAATGAAGCATGATAGAGGCAAAAAGAGATGAAGTAAGAAAATAAAGAATGTGGAGTAAGGCAGTAATAGCTACCTCTAAGGAGGCTCAAGCCCTGCGAGCACGACGGCCCATATACCGAGGCCGTCTCGAATGATCATCATAATGAACAGCCATCTCGGAGTGGGGTCTGACATGGGCCTCCATGGAGTCCGGCGTTTCAGCACGGGGAATTCCAAGTCCATTGGTAGTTTCATAGGCTAGACGCGAGGGAGCACGGTTCTCCTTTGATGTAGAGTCAATGAGCTTGTCCGTCCCGGGGACACCCACGGAATCAGAGCGTTTACTCTTGATCCAGCCGAAGATTCCAAGTGAGCTGCGTCGCTTGTGTTCTATGCCATGGGATGTAGAGGGACGTCCTGAGACAGTTGCAGAGCCGGCGTGGTCGGCAAGTCTTGACATTGTCAAGGATTGGGGGAGTCCTCGCGGTCTGAAGGCAGAGAGCGGTTCTTCATTATGGATTGGGGGGTTGGAGAAGTATAGGTCGGTTGGGGCGGTGATTATTTGGGACATGGGTCTTCGAGAGGCGCCGCCCATTGTTCTGGTTTTGGGGATTACCGGGGATGGGGCGCCGTCTTCTTCGTCGTCTTCAAAGTCGTTTGGAACGGGTGAACCTTGTAGACGACGGGTGTTGGTGGCTGAACGGTTGAAGAATGGGGGTATGAAGCTGAGACGTCGACGGGTCTCGGGGTTTGCTTCAGGTTTGGGCTCTGACTGGCCGAGGTCGAGGGGTTGTTCCAGGATATCCAGAGTGGTCATGTCAAGAGTTGGGATACCAGGGACCTCGGGCTCGCTTGGTTCCGAAGCGATGCTGCTGTCATCATCAAATGCGGCTGGACTGGCGGCGTTACGTGGTGATACCTCTGTCTGTTGAATTTCGTGGCGGGTCTCACGCGGCTTTGGCTTACGAGACCGCGGGCCCTGCCTCGCAGCGGCCACCCAATCTTGAGGTGTGAGTGGTGGCGAAGAGTCGCGGTCACTGGTGTGCAGCTCCGGGGTCATAGCCTTGTGTGGGCTACGGACGCGTTTAATCGTTGGGGTTGATGCTTCGTTGGCATTTGCGTGGTACACATCTCCAAATGTCTCAATGGCAGGGTTGTTGGGGCTTCCGGGCCCTAGAAGTGCGCTTGCTTTGGAGGAAACAGTGTTGAACGAGGGCAAGATAGTGCGCGACTCATCGGCTGTGACTCCTAGGCGCGGAGTATTACTGCAATTGGTCTGCATGCTGTCGAATAGCTCACTGTCATTGAAGCTGCAGCGACTGGCCATCTCTTCCGCAGAACGTGGGCGATTAGCTCGCCTACCAGTGAAAAACTGATCCTGCTCAGTCTGCGGGCTCTTTCGGGCAGTAATGCTACCATTTGACCCGTTCGACCGGTTTGCACCGGTAGCATATGCCGTACTCATGGTGTCAGGGGTGGGGGGAAGCTTGATGCCCCCGAAAAGAGAGGTATCCAGTCGTCCACGCCCACGCGGCTTGGGAGCGTAGAGGTCTGTTGTAAAACTCGAGATGCTGGCCTTGGTAGCATCAGACGATGCTCGATTCCTGCGTCTCGTGATTATAGTCTGGTTGGCGTCTTCGCGGGTCTGCATCCACCGATCAATCTGGTCTTCCTTGCTTTCTTCCCGCCCGTTGGGGGGAATATAGCTATCCAAGCTGCCTGCGGTCGACGACGATCTCCGAAGAGGGATCTCGAGCTGATCAAATTCTTGCCACCTTGTAGGCGTGTCGAACGGATTCAGCTCACTGCATTCACTCAAGACGCTCAGCCTGGGTGACTCGGGCTCCATGATCTCGGTGGTTGTGTGGAAGCTCTCTGATTTCGAAAGTTCGGTCCTTGCAGAGCGTGACTGGGTTTCTTCTTCAGGGGTATAAAGGCTTCGCAAAGTGGCAGTGCTTTTGTTATCGGCTCGTAGGAAGGAGGGTGCTTTCGAGAGTTTGCGTAGCTCAGAAGATGTCTGGCGCTGAGCTACACTCAAGACACTCGAATTTCGCTTGGAAGAAGTTCTCTCCGGGATCTCAATCGTGGCTCGTGATTTGCCCGCGAAGGTGTCGGAGCCATCAGCGGTCATAGGGCGCGACATAGATAGCCTGGAGGCCCGGCCGCCGTTCTCCAGCATTTCAAGTTTCGATTCCAACTGACAGATGAGCTCGACGGCTTCGGTAACAGCCAGGTCTCGCTTGTCGAGGTCGATGCGGAGTTGCTCGTTAGATTCACGTAGGATTTGGTTGTCCTTCTCGGTGGTTCGAAGCTCCTCCACTTCCACTACCAAATCGTGCATGTGGGCTAGCTGTTCTTCCATCTCCGCCATGCGTTCTAGCTTCTTTTCATATACAGCCATTTGCTGTGTGCGGTGGAAGACCTCGAGCTTCAAATCGAAATTGAGCTTGTTCATTTTTGAGACATACTTTAGACCAGTCAGCTAGTGCATATGGGATTCCCGTACTCCTGAACTTACTTGGTCCATTTCCCGCATGCCCATCTCTTTTGGTTTTCTCTGACCAGCAGAGAAGACGTCATTCACTTTGCGTGCTTTTTCAGACGCAGCATCCTCCTGGGCTCGAGTGGTCTCGGGAGTTTGAGGAGCATTTTCTTTATAATCCTCTGATATTGTACCCCGGGAGCTTCGGTGCGCGCGTTCTTCTTTCAGTAAATCTTGCAAGAGAGCTGAGGCAGGGTTTACTAATGTAGGGGTGGCAGGTTCCGGGGTTTCTGGGCGACAAATAATCAGTCACTTGCGCTCTAAAGCCATCCAACTTTGCTGGCAATCGGAAGACATACCAGATAAGCGGTTTGGCGTTCTTGTGCCCTGGTGGATAGGGGACTGGTCTCCTAGCCACGAGACCTCTGGACTCATTCGAGGCGGAGTAAACATATTCATTCGGCCCTTGACGCGGGAAAGTGATGGGTGTTGAGGGCGTCTCGACAAGTCTTGAGGGAGAAGCAATGTCAGCTTTAATCCGTTAATCCTGAGTTCTTGGAACTCGATACAAGCAGTTCCAAGTTCAGAGATCACGTACTAGGGTGATCTTTAGAGGAAACACTGCGTTTGGGTGCAGCCTTGGGATGATGAACGGGACTTTGAGAGTGCGAAGGAGCAGGCTGACCAGCGGCCGAGCTCCTTCTTTTAGATTTCTCATCCATGGTGGCTGCAGGCATAATGTTTACCGAATGTGCATAATTGACGTGCCGTAAAAAGCCCCCCGATTCCCGATTTGGACGCAGCACTACAGTATCCTGGTCAATCAGTGGACACCACGGTAACAATTTCCTGCACAATTCACCAGCCGCATCGGAGGATTAATGGATGGATCCAGGGATATTGATGACGATTGGATAGGTGCCAGATAGTGTATTGAATGATTGGATGGTGGAGGGTAGCGAGCAGGTGCAATGCGAGGGATGCAGATATGTCGCAGCTGGGGGGGCAATCAGAGGCTGGTTGGTCGAACCTGTGGAGTGCAAGGTAGGTTTGTAGAGTCAATAGACCTAAATCAAGGCACAGAGTGCCAATTCCAAACGATTCAAGGGAGACGGGACTGCAAGTCAAACGAAGCGAGGGTGTCGCAAACGGATTGTGATGAGTCGATGAGACTTAAAAAGTAAAAAAAAGGGTCGCCCCACTTATGTAGTTGTTTTGATGTAGAGCCCTGGAGAGTATTGCATTACGTAGGGACAGTTGTTATGATAATAAAGAATGGAAGAATTCGAAGAATGGAATAAGAAACTCCCCAATGTTTTTTTTCCCAGCCCCCGAGAGGCTAGATTCAATAGGCTCCTTAGCACGACGATCAATAAGTTCCTTGACAATTACACCAATCGGATCTGGGCCGTGGGGCAATCTCTCACTTTGGCGGGGGTTTTTGATTTCATAGGCTTTTTTAACTGAATTGCAGTTGGATTTAAAAGTCGGGTACTTGCATAACTTGTAAATGTGGATTTGATCTATGTTGTACTACATATTTTATTCTATAGATTCAATCTAATAACATATAAGACATATTTCATACTTCATATAGTTCGATATATCAACATTCATTTCCATGGATCCAGGTGTCTCCACCCGAGCCTTATGTCTCGGACCTGTCAGGTTTGATAGATTCCCCGAGATCGTGAACATAGGTATCTCATGTTCTATGTCCAATAGTGAAATGGAGAAAATAAAACTTGCCCTACGTCACAACCTATTGGATTGAAGAATCACATTCATAAATGGCATAACTTTCATGAGCGAGCGCAGCTCAAAGCCCATGAGAAATGCCTCACAAACTATTACTTACGTTTCGCCTCCCCAGACCAGATCCTCATATCCTTTGCCCGATCATGAGCTGCGCGGAACACTATCGAATCGTATCTGTTAGCAACCTTCCTCCACCCGTTCGAAACAGGTCATAACCTTACATTGTCGCTCAGTCTCATCCAGCCCGCGAAGGAAATCAACTCCACCACCGACTGCACCACGCGAGTTGTGCGCATGATCAGCAATCTCTGCCGCTCGTTTCTTGAATGCCTAACAGCTCGTTAGTCCCAGCGCAGCCAATGAGCGGTCTTCACCGGCTGTGGAGATCAGAGCCACCTACATCTCCGAGAACATCGACCATCTCTTCTTCCTCGAAGAGTTCAAGAATGCGCTCGCTCAGGTTGTAGAAATGCGGTGCTAAAGCGCGCAAGTCAAGCGTGCGGGGATCTGCCTTCAGTGCATTCATCACCCGCTCCGAAAGCGCATCGGGCATGTCGAGCGTGACTAGACGGGCCGTTCCTAGACGTGCCCTATAACAACCACATATAGAACGTTAGGAAAATAACGAATTCCACGCCTGGTCTTTTGAGTAGGCTGAACTGGGCGGGATCTTACCCGATCGAAAGCATTTCACCTAGCCATAGTGGAAGATCGATCCGGGTGCCAGCTTTGATCTGTGCATCGGTCAGTGAGCAGTGTGGCCAGATGGTAAAAACTAGAGCATAGACTCACATCTTCGCCTGCATTGCCCTCTAGAATACCGAGTCCGGGTACTTCGAGCTCAAATGTGCACGGCAGTTTCTGGATTCAACGATGTTAGCAATTTATTTCTGCGAGTTGATCGTCAGAGCATGTGGTTGCAATCAACTCACCTGTGCATCAGTCAAGATGGAATCAATATCATAGTAAGACATTATGACACGTCGGAATATTCATGTTCTGTTGTCGCAAAGTTGTGAGATTGAGGCGCGTCGACCGCGGCGCGCGGTCACGTGCTACCCACAAAATGGAAATTGGTGGGGAAACCGATGACCACCACAACTGCTAGAAGTGATGAGCTTTGGAGATCTCCGTCTCCTTGCTGTCGAATGGCCATGAGAGATTTACCACGGCCTGGCAGATCGGGAAAAGTTTGCTCGATTTCCCAAGATAACCTAACACGTTTAATTCGTTGCCTTTAGATTTGTGTTTCATACTCTGCGACTTGGTAACAAAGGAAAGAATCCTGTATTTCACAGGTGACTTTGCTTCTTATAATCCCTCAGGAGAATCAAGGAAAGCCCCCACAAGGCTAAACAGACAAATGCAATTTTGCCTGTCGGACCTGAGCTCGAAATTTCAGGCTCAGTCGCTGACCCCAGGCATAATGTGCATATCACAAACCCTACGTGGTACAGGATACGTGGGTGGGCGCATGCATGCCACACTATATCGGCTGATAGAGTATTTGAGTACAATATCGTCACTCTGTCAATCGATGGGATATTGACTTGTCGGCATCTAGAAAAGCTGGCCTACTTGGAACGCTTCATTTCTTGGACGTCGACTAGTTTCGTATACCTATTTCAAGAATTCTGTCGACTCTAGTAGATGCCCATCGCTGAAATTGAGGCCATAACATCAGATAATGTAACCCGGACCTCGTCCACTAAAGAATAGCACTAATTTATTGGATTGGATGCGATTGTTTCTTCCCATGTGAGAGGCTTTGAATCATTCTGCTTTTCCGACTCGAGGAGACAGATAATGGCACAGGACCAAGCCGTTGAGCCGAGCTGGCAGGTGGCCTACAAACAGCTTTCTCTCTTCGGGACACTGAGAAAGGTCGACCTCATATATATAGTCGCAATAGTCTAGGTTTTCTTTCACGTCAAATTTCCAAAACAGAGCGGAGACTCTCCAGATAAAAGTACGAAACGTGAAATCAGGCATGATGATAGTGAGAATCAGAGGTACTCAGAGGCCATGCAGTCCAGCAAATGGATCATGACTAGGGTCCTCATGTCGAGTATATTCTATGCTATTCGAGATCTTCCTCGCCACCTCGCTCCCGTAGACCTTTTCAATCCAAGCAAGAATAACATCGATTCCAGCGCTAACCCCAGAAGAAGTCCAGATATTACCATCAACGACCCATCTCGCACGAGGAACCCAATCGACATTCACCGCCAAAGCCGTAATCTCAGCCCAAGCCATCTTATTCGTCGTGGCACATTTTCCATCTAGAATCCCAGCTCGCGCTGCAAGCCCCGAGCCAGTACACACCGTAACGAGATATTTCAGTTGAGGATATACGTTTTTGATGTACGAGATTGCTTCTTCGATTGCTGGACTTGAGCCGCGTGTTCCTAGACCACCAGGGACGAGAAGCAGATCCAAAGAAGGCGCCGTTGCAAAGGTATGGGTTGGGACCACGCTTTGACCCATGGCGTTGGCGAATGCCGGTGGCTTTGTTGTCACTGGCTCTAGCGTTGAGGATAAAAGTGCCATGGTCACGTTGTGGCTCCATGAGAGGACATTTATGCAGTCCAATGGGCCGAATACATCCAGGGCTTGGAAGCCTGGGAATAGCACCACACCCACGCGGAGAGGGGTGGATTTGCCTTCGGATTCTAGATCAATCTGTTAACATATGAAATTCGTGCTGGAAGTGAGGGTCATACCAGTCATATCCTTTGTGGTTTTTGATAGAGAGATGAGAGAGAAGAGAGAGAAGAGAGGATTGATTCTCTACAAACAAGCAGGAAGCTAAGTTACCTAGTTAACTAACAATAGTCAAATGAGGCCTGACAAACCAGGCATCAACCAGGTGACTATCACAACAATTTTGAAGCTGCTAGGAATAATGTACAAGCCCTTCTATTTGTGATTGAAGGTGTGATTTTCTCTATCGGTCTTCGCGCTAAAACAGGTGATCTGGTCTTTATATACACAACCAGGTATTGGAATGGCCAAGCCACAGCCTTGCGTCGGTTTTGAGCAGATTAGTGAGTAAGCGGGAATGGTTCCGTGTTTGGAGAATGGGAACTTGTGAAGGTATCATTCGGAAGGAAAATGATAGGAACCCTCTCCGTGGAAAATATGCTTGTGTTTGATATACTACATACATATGTAGTAGTATGTACTGGACTTTAGGCCGCGGAAGCGAATTCCAGATCGGGGTGCCGCCGCTTTATGCTCGAGCCCGCTCACTGAGTATCTCATTTTACCACTGGACCACAAGAAAAAAAGCCTAGGTCCTATAATGGCCTATAGGGACTATACTTGTGCTGTTTCTTGGTTTGGCACTTAGACCAAATCCCTTTAAGTCACTATTGTACAGGACCCTGCAGAATATCCCGCATCATCGCTTCTCCTACCAAGTCCGTGGATGTGTCGATATCAGGAAACATGGCGTTTGGGGCATCGTCGATCGAAATACCTCTGTTACAAAAGAGACTAAGCCACGTCAGTAATTGGGACAAAACATGTCTGCAGGGAAGCTGGAAATACCTAGCTCAGGGAATATGAGTAACTTACAGATCGTAAAAGTCGGAGACAGAGTGGAGTGCAGGGAACAATGTATCGAGACCCTGCAAGGAATCCAGAGTATTGGAGGAATTGGATAGCACGCCCCATTCCATTAGCTGGAAATGTACCTCAGAAATCATTTTCTCGCCACAGCCTGCACTCCCTATTGATTGCAGCACTTTCATAGACTGCCGTATACTTTCGAGCTGCTTTTCGGCTTTTGTGACAGCAAACTCAGAAAGAAAGACCTGTAGAATATCCAAGGCATAATAAAAATCCAAGGCAATTTGTCTCGAGTGCAGGCCATCTGCGACCATTGTCTGTAGAATGCCTAGCATTCTTTCCGAAGAATCCAGACAGATGGCGCTGAACTTCTCAGCGCCCTGTAGCTTCGCGCTTCCTGGTGACTGTTTGCGACACAGGAGACTGTAGAACAGAAAGGGTCGACATATGAGAAGCTGGATACTATGGTACTTCAAGTGAAGCGCTGCGATCGGTCTTCGAAAGAAAGGCGCAGCCGGGGCCGAGAAATTCAAATGGGGTGGAAGAGTATCAGCCCAATCCTGCAATGCAGTCATAACCCCATCAACAATCTTCATTTTCAGTTGTTGGCCCAGTAGGGTGGGACTCTTGTAAAGTTCGCTGCGGACATTTCTTGCCAATTTACAAAGAGTAACATAGGAGGCCAAGTAGGAAGGGGGACTGTATGGGCCAGACGGTAGGATCTGCAAGATGTAGGTTAGAAGACACGTTGGATGCGAAAAAAAATGGTAAAGGTGCGTTCGACTTGCCCGTTCCGATGGTAAAGGTGGGTTAGATGAGTCTTCAATCGCGCTTGGCCTCCCTAGCCGCAGTGATAAATCTTGATCAAACATAAATAGAGCCCACCAGGTGCGTCGTGCGTGCTCTTTCTCGACACCACCATAAGAAATGCAGTATTTATCACAGTGCAGCCCCATAGAGCACGCTATTTGCACAGCGAGTCCCGAGTAGAGGTATGCTGCGTTGGAAAAGCCGTGCGACTGCATAGCCGTAGCCTGGAAGTGAATTCTGTTAGCATGTGTCTATCAGGCAGTAGGCAGAATACTCACCAATAGAATCATAGCTTTAACACTATCCAGGCTCCCCTCATCGCATACACTAAGTATGAGAGACTTTGCGCACAACAAATACTCATTTGGGGAAGCATTGTACTGTGGACCGTCAGGGTAGGGAGACCCATTATTTGCAATAGCTAGAATTGAATAGAGAGAGCAGCTCCATGACGCGGTCAATTTCTGATGTGGCATGCGATATGTCTCCTCTAATTTGCTGTAGAACTTCTCGGAGGAGTAAAGCCAATAAATGGAATGTACCTCTTCGAAATATCGCATCGCAGATTGATGCACAGCTTCTTGGGAGGGTAGTTGGATTTCATCTTGCACAGATACTTGACTGGGAACTGGCATGGCAACCGTCACCATTCCCGGAATGACATCTGGGGTCTCTGGCGTATGCAGCGTATCGTTCTTGTAACATCGAATGGCAGAATTAAAGGGCAGACCCGATTCAGCTCCCATGAATCCTATTTAGTTTTAACTTGGGGCCTGGAAGAAAATTCTTCTACTTGTACACATAACTTACGATATTCGCCTCGAGAATCTACTATTAGACACCCAAGCTTTTGATATAGAGGAAATACCTCCCGGACTAAGGCATCGTCCGGTGATGGATTTGAGTCTGAGTCTTCAGTAAAACTCAGTTTAGGCGGGCTGTCTGCAAGGGTGCATAGGCTAGAGGCCAACATGGGAGAGATTGAAACGGACGTAGTAGGGTTAGGGGGTGGAGGTGTTATCTCCTCACTACATTGCTTTGCAAGAGAGTGGAGGTTCTCTCTGGTCAAATCTGTATTTGGGAGGTAACGTTTCAGAATCATTTGCATGTCCCGGAATTCCTCTTCGGACACAAAATAGTATGGCCTTTGGCGTCGCTTGCTCGAGTCGATTTGACACTCCACGCCGGAGTCGCGGCAGTGGTCACATGGGCCGGGAGCTAAGAAATGATTTAGCCCTGTGGGAAAGAGGGAGGAGGGGAATATTTACTTGGGTTATTGCACTGAAAATCGATAAGCATTAGATCGAAACATCATGAAGCAACTGTTGGGGCTCTACCTTAATTTTTCGGCTTTTGCAACGCTCGCAGCTCATTGCCGTGCGCCTCCGATTCGACTTCCGACGTTCAGCCATGATTGATTAATGATCTATTTCAGCGGAAATTCAAGTTCATAAAAGAAATCTACAAAATATGAGGATTGCGGGGAAGGACTATTAGAGTTAACCGGCATGATAGATTCGAACAAAGCCGGGAAAATCCCCCCAAGGTCTTCTTAGCATGGGTACCATTTATGCACACAACCTAATGGGAGCCTATTCGCCCGCGGGCTGGGCGAGCTAACATATGTCCAGGTCTACTTCTAAGAAACATGATTTTCATGATACCCCGCACTTTGGGACTCTTCTTCATTCCGTCAATGACACCATACGAAAGCAAGGTCCTCAAGATGTTATTCAGAGATGCTACTATCTGGCTCAAATGATCCTCAAAATCCCCAATCTGTAATAGTCCTTGCCGGTGGGGCAGCACTCCCGTCTTCGCGCCACTTCGGAGCCTTCAGGTCTTCCTCGGCCACATCTTTTCCCGTCACAGGGTGTTTGTAGTGATAGGGTATCACCCGGGTGTCAGGCCAAAGCGACTCCCCTAGGGTCACCTCGTCGGGACCCAGTGGATTTGTTGGGAAGGCGTCCTCTTCCTTGTACAAAGGCACAAATCCATTCGATCCCTGCCACCCCCTTTCCACAGTACCGTGCCAGAATGGATAATACCTAAGGCGCAGGATTTTCCACACCCCATCTTCGAGGATATACTCGTTCTCGTAAAGACCACCTTCCCACCATTGGCGCTGTCCTCCCGGGAATTTGGGCGTAAGGGATTCGTGGGTTCCGGCACTCATCAGGGTACGGATGCGGGCCTTGGCCCTTCCTGCTTGTGGATCAAAGTCCACAATGTCTTGTGCCATGAGGTGATCAAGGAGCCATCCATCAATAGGACCATTTCGACCACCGACGAATGAATTGGCAAATCGATCGATATACAAACGGTTCACGCCCTCCTTTCCGCGGAATGTTCCGTTCAGAAACTGAACATACGTATCTTCGTGGTCCGCAAAGAGCTCTGCTACCTATATATTTCAAATGTTAGCAATAGTCGAGGTTACAGACTTGGGGGAAATTATCGGTAATTACCTCTTTGTACAAACATTTGTCCAGATAGTAGCCATATTTATGGTGTAGTTTTCGTACTTCAGATTCGCCTTGAATGGTGTTAGCGAGCCAGAAAAGAAGAAAGAGAAAAAGAGAGCGAAATTCCACCTTGAAGCCGAATCACTTGATTCTCAAGCCTGTTCATCCGGGCTAGCAGAACCGAGTTCTCAGGAGACTGTTGGGTTTCTGACATTGTTTCCGATGTCTTGAATCGTGTCTTGGGTAGTGGATAAATTGCGAGAAAGAAGGAATACACTGGATATCCTCTGAGAAGCCAAGGGCATCATATTAACTTATATCCTGATACTTGGGCATTATTCCTGCGATGCATCCGTTACTCGGATTATCGAAGGTATCGCGGGTTGGTGTTCGGATGATAGGAGGCGATGGCGTTGGTGACTGCGCAACTCCCAAGCCTCGACAAGCCATCACTGCCTATAGTGATGACACGGAAGCATATATTTACTGCGCAACTCTCACGCCTTGGCAGCAACAAGCCATTTGATGCATTTAGTGATGACACGGAAGCATTCACCCGCATTCTGTTAGGTGATAACCGTGAAAATTCCTGCAAGTGAGATGCAACAAGCAACTGCTACTTTCACTACCAACCGATAAACACATCCGGACTCCAGTATGGGTTCCGACAAGAACGTCATGTCTTCAATTTGGAGAGAGAGACGAATTATATCCATCTCATTCTTTATTGCGATGGCTCAGTTTCAATATGGATATGATTCTGCTGCTGTCTCTGGGTTTCAGACTATGCCTGGCTTTCTGGCAGTGTTTGGTTATGTTGATGTGAGTTCCCAAATCTGAATACAACTATCTCTGGAATCTAATCACGCTTTCGACAGCCAGAAAATATCTTAGGCTACAACATCAAAACCACTGTTCAAACCCTCCTGCAAAGTTTGATGCAACTTGGGGGTCTTGTGGCTTCGCTTGTTATCTTCAAATATGGATCCTGGATTAGCAACCGATGGGGGCTATGGACTGGATGTGCCCTCTCCTGTCTTGCCATTATCCTCCAGATCAGCAACTCCCATTTACCGGCCCTCTATGTAGGGAGGGTGTTTCTCGGTATCTCTAATGGGTTCTTTCTGACCTATTCGGTAACATATCTCGGAGAAATCGCGCCCACCCATCTTCGAGGCTCTACCGTGGGTCTGGTAACCTTTCAAACCTCTTTTGGCGCTTTGATTGGCATTATTGTGGACAAATACACGACAGAATATCATTCCCGCCTGTCATACCGCATTCCACTAGGCATCATGTTTTTCGTCCCTGTGATGCTTTCGATTGGCCTTGTATTTTTGCCGGAAAGTCCGCGCTATTATGTACGACGTGGTCTGGATGCTGAGGCAGCTCAAGCGATCCGCTGTCTTCGAGGAGCCCATGATGAATCTCAATTGGAAGCGGAGGTATCAAGCATGCGCCAAATGTGGATTGCGGAGAGCATGGAAACCAACCATGCACGCCTAATCGATGCCTTCCGTGGAGCCGATCTCAAGAGAACTTTCCTCAGCCTCTGCTGCAGTGTCGGTCAGACCGCCAGTGGAATTATTTTCTTGTCCAACTTCTCCGTCTACTTTTACGCGCAAGCTGGCGTACAGAACGAGTTCCAATGGGTCATGATGAGTCTGGCTATTGCAATCACCGGAAATATGGGAGCTTTTGTGGTCATGCAATATTTTGAGCGACGTACCCTACTCGGTACTTTCTCTGTGATAAATGGTGTTATAATGATGGTCATTGCAGCTGTGTATACAAATCTGGACGCTGGATCATATACTGCAGCAAGGATACTAATTGCAATGGGAACTCTCTCTACCTGGTCCTATGGACTTGGACAAGGACCCGTGCTTTGGGCTCTTCAGGTAGAGATCCCCTCCCAACGGCTGCGTTCTAAGACTGTGGGCCTTGGAACAGGTTGCAATTATGTCTTTGCGTGGGTTGCTGCCTATTGCTCGCCGTATTTCATCAACCCGACTGCTTTGAACTGGGGGCCCAAATACTGCTATCTATGGGGTGGCAGTAATTTCTTGCTGGCTATTTGGGCATTTCTCATGATTCCAGATATCAAAGGGAAGACTTTGGAACAAATCACTAGTTCAATGGCCCAGAAAGACAAAGACATGTCTTGCGACTTGGGGGAAACTGGCACCAAATGAGAGTCCCTGTCTATATTGCGAATGCGGGCAGATATTCGAAGATATAGTGGTGACTTCTACTCTTGTTTTGCGTTTTATAGCTATCACCACCCTATATCTACTCGAATTTGAGGTCCGTTTATTTTTATCTACTTTGTTAAATTTACGGTAGCGGTTAGCAAGTGAGACTATGATCCGGGTCTGTAATACAGCTGGGAAGAATCATAACTGGATCGTGGAAAGCTACCGGGCTCCGAGCTACAAGTCGGAGACTTGGGATAAACGGGGAATACTTACACCTGCTTGTTCTTGCAGTCCGGCCAATGGGCACACCGCCGAATGTTGCCCCCAAATCTACTCAGATCTTGACACAAGCTCCTCACTTCTTCCAAAATGGTCGCCGGCCTCTGGCTTTCTGTTGCAGTATGAGTATCCACAAAAGACCATGCAATCCTGTTATTCCAAAATGAAAAAGTCATCCAAGTTCACGACATGCGATCTGAAGGAATGGAAATTGGCTAGGGCAGCTCCAATTTCCTCTCTTAGGATCTCATAGATTTAGGAGAAGAACAGGAACTCTGTGCCGGCGGTGATTGAGATATGGTCCCGAAATACGTTCATCGAGATTGATTTCTCCAAGAAAATTAAGCGATAGTACATGAATCGTTGCTACCAGTAGAGACTGAATGTAAGCTAGGGTTTATGCAAGGTTATGGTGTCGGCTACCAAAATAGGTCAGGTCACGCGACCATTTCGAGTCTCGAGCACCAATATATTTTTATTAGTCAGATCCTAGCAAAGCAAATCAGTCCAATGGAACAAACAGTTGAGACTACGATATCTGTTGATGGCCTGATTGGTCCGGGGTTGTCATGCACTTCAGCTCAGACGCAGACACCTCGGTATTGCCTATTTGAGTATTTTTTTATGTATGTTATGGGGAAACCTGCAGAAAGGCAACGAGGCAAATAATGATACTGTTATAATCTTCTAAGGGGGTTTGTCTAAGACCTTATATTCTTTGGGACAGAGTACTCCTTATATAGATATATCAAAATGCCAAGACCTCTAGAACACGGTGGAGAGTCAAAGCCTAACAAGAACATGTTGACTGGACCGAGACATGAACGCAAAGGCCCCCTTAAAGTGGTCTAGTGGCTTTAATTCCTTGATTTGGGCTTAGGAAGGAAATTACATCGTTATTATTAGCATAAGCATTATCATTTTATTTGACATTCCAGGGTCATTCAAATTATTGTACGACAAATCCAAAATTAGCCGGCCTCCCAGGTTTCCTTTTTTTCCTTTCCCCTTCTTTCTTTGGTATCCCGGCTATTTCCGACTCCCTTTGATCTTGGAATCTATCAATTAGAACTGGTCTGAATGGATAGTAGGTGACTAACACCTATATTATGGCGTACAATGCCGTCGCTCAAGTCGACCACGAGGTGGCTTCTGTTTCTTCCGCTTCTGCATCACGCAGCCCGTCGCCCGCTCATGGACATGCATTTGAACAGCTGCCGCTTGATACTGATCACATCGGGGCAGGGAGCCACCTAGAAATTGCCAAAACCACAGACAATCCCAGTTTCGGTCAGTTAGGTTCCATGATTCGCTCTATGACTTCTACCAGCTACGATGTGGTGGAGGACGACGACTATGACGCCGATCCCTCCCCCGAAGAGCGATCCAACAGCCTCCGCATTCCACCACTTAATACGACTGTCCCGCGACATTCTTCTCCCGATCCCCCCTCCACAGCGCATGCAGTGAGGTTCCCGTACCTCTCAGCCACCCTACCCCAGATTTGCAGTCGATACAAGGAGCATACAAAGGGAATGTAACGCGGTTGGAAGAAAGTGCAGAGCAGCTGAGCTCGTGCTCCGCGGACATTGAGAGCGAGATACGTCGCATCGATCAAGAGCAAAAGCGACGTTCAGTCAGTTCCGCGTCCAATTCAATCATTCACCGGACTGGTGCATTCTCCCCAGTAGGGACCATTTCCTCCACCCATGGATCGAATGTGTCTCCCGCGCGTCAGCGCTCCGTTTCAGGGGCGCGTTTGGCTCAGCTCTCGGAGCCTGCGCACGATGAACGTGAGCATGAAGTGGATGAATTTCCCGGGCTTCCTGATCTACCACCGCCGCAACCCCTTTTCAATACCCAGAACGATTACTATTACGACCAATATATTCCACAAGGAGTTCCCGCAGAAGCGGAATTGGAGCGCCGAGCCTCGGTCGCATCGAACGATACCTACCAGCAGGCGCGGACACTATTCACTGATTTTGATGGCGTCCATTTCACACCCATGGAACCAGGTCGTCAGGTTTCTTTGGAGCAGCCGCCGCTCGCCCGCAAACCGGAACATTACAAACACCCACAAGCAGGAGAGAATATGGTGTTCTATCCCGCTCCTGTTCCACGCATGTTGAATCTGCCACCGAAGTTGTCGCGCAAGGAAAATATCGACCGGGAGAAGCGTCGTACACGCCTTGCAGGCGCCATCACCGCTGAGGATAGAAAGTCAACCGCTGTGCTATCTGACGCCGATCAAAAAGACCTACGCGATAGCCATGGCGATAAACGCAAATCGAAACTGCCACCACATCTCCGTGCGAGTGTGTTTTTTGATCAGCCGAGTACATCACTCCAGGTCGAGGTTAAGCAGGACTCTGCGGTTGCTACGCTAGAGAGCATTTTGGACGCCTCTGCGAATGCACCTGTTTCGGCTTTCACTGATCACCCTTATGCTGGTCATATCGGCGCATTCATCTACAACAAGTCAAAACGCAAGACTCTGAAAAATGATATGGCAGACGAAAAGACAAATCGTCTTTCGCGGGCCACGATTGGCCAGCCTTATCGCACTAATAATGTAGATGAGCATGGGAACCCTGTCACTTCGCGACATGGATCAGAAGCCGGGAATGACTCGGATAGAAATCATGATGAGCACCGCCATGAGCGCGGGTCGGAAGGCACTGATACCGAAAGTGATGAGCAATCCGAAGACGAAGAGGATGAGGAAGAAGAAGAAGAATTGGATTATGTTGGTCCACCAAACACGCTTCTCGCCGAATTGGAGTTGCGGAAGCATGAATTGAAGCACCGTCGCCGGACGGTAGTGCCTGTAGCTTTCCATGGTATGAGGACCACTTTGTTAGAAATGGACGAAATGGCCCAAAAGCAAAGTGACAAACGGCGGCAGCGCCCCGTCGCATTGGCCTGGGAAGGGCGGGACGAAGACGAAGACGTCCCCCTAGCTATGTTGTACCCCGAAAAAGCCAATGTTGAAAATGACGATCGACCTCTGGGGCTGATAGAGAAGCGGCAACAAGAAGAAAATGAGCCTCTGAGCTCACGCCGTGCTAGGCTGCGTGGGGAACCGGTCCCACAGCCAGAGGAACGTCGTGCTACAGTGTATGCAGCAGAGCCTCCGGCGCATGTTCCTGAGCCGGCCGCTGAGAGTGAGGATGAGGCAGAGATAGAGACCCTCGCCGAGCGACTTCAACGGTTGAAGGGACATAACCGCTCAGAGAGCAAATTTGCCAGCGACTTGATGGCCGAAATCGATACCAGGGCTGGAGTTGCGCCTAAAGACGCCCAAGAAGTCCCCGGCCCCAGCGAGGAAGAGACACTTGCACAGCGACGCAGTCGCCTTCAGAAAGAGGCTGCTGCCCAACTTGGGCCTCCAAAGAACCCGCGAATGCGCCGGAGCATGGCTGCGCTTACACAGGGTCGTCCTGCCCAGCTTGCTCGCCAGTCATCGCATGATGTTTTCAACCAGCGGCCTGTCACCATGTCACAGTATGGGAACCGCATGTCCATGCAACAATTTCCACCGCAAAGAGGATATCCAACACCTGCGGTATACCCGATGGCACAGCAATACGGGTATCCTATGAATCCTGGGACGATGGGGTATGCTTCAAACACGACACAACACCCTACCCCGGCCCAAACCGACCCGTACGTGATCGACCGCTGGAGGCAAAGCATTCGTTGAAGGCGTTATCAATTAATTTTTGTTTTATGTTTTTGTTAGCATAGCATATGGTCGTTTTGAGCGTGTCATTCTTTGATTTATATATTTTTCTCGAAGGATATCCATGTAGCATAGCTGTACGGTTTATAGAGTTAGCGCATACATTTCGGGGGATTTGACCTATTATCCCGAGAAAACAGTCACAATAAACATTGAAGCAAAGTAGGGGCAAGAATGTGACGCGATCTTGTTAGATAGGCCCAGACACTACAAAAGGGCTAGATGGGTGTAACCTAACTTTTAGCCGCGCGTTAACTTGGCCTTGTCTTTTATATAAATAGACATAAAGATCAATATCTCTATTGCAAATTTACTGCGGATTGTGGATTACCCCTTCTTTTTGTCAAATCGACGTTTAATAGGCTTACAAAAGCTCGAGGCTCAAGAAGTCCACGGGTGGGTTCTGCATCCCCCCACGGTCCAAAGTCTGTATATGACAGCGTCTTTGTTCGGCACCCAGCACATGCAGTTGATAACTGCAATGGACTATTACGCCCCTTGTTAATCCCTGTGACTCAATCTGGCGTTGTGAGGGCCTCGAAATAACAGCCATGCCGCCGTCTACCGTCTTCTCGTACTGGCGCCGAGACCACCGGCGTTGGTCCGCGTCGCCTGCTTCAATCCCCGCGCCCTCACCTGTCAAAGGGGCGAATGCAACCCCGAATATCAGCCCTCCGCAGCTCCCAGAGATTCCGGACACACCTACGCTCACCACTACCTTCGACGGTCGCCCCTCACCCGATGGCCCCTCGAATGAGTCGTCGCTCGACATCGATACTTCCAAGCTCAACATTAGCTCATCGGTCGCGCCACTATCGTCCTCGCTTACTCTTGGTGTTCCATCGCCTGCATTTGAAAAAGAAAGTCGTCCTCATTCCAGCCCCGGCGACTGCGGGGAAGAACAATTTACATCCCAGTCGAATAATTCCCAACTGTCTGTGACGGGTCTACGGTCTGACCAAGCAGACGCAGAGTCGAATTCCAAACCAAGCTCGCCTTTTCGACGTTCGTTTGGCAAGCAGAAACGATCACCAACTGCGGCAGCAGGCTCAGGTCATTTCCGGTTCAGAGCCTCAACGGATGATTCGCCGGCGGATAAACAAACAATGCCACAGAAGGATTTCAAGATGGATGCTAGCACAACTGTCCGGCGCACAGGAGATCGTGATGTGTCTGTAGAACAGACACATCACAAGTCGGGCAAGGCTATGCTTCATCTCTTGAATCCGATGTCCCTGCTTGCGCGCAGGCGCTCTTCGCAGATGGTTAGCTCCCGGGCAGAAGATGTCAAAATCAAGAACCATAATGTCCCTGCTATGCCAGATGACTATGATCCCAGGATTCGTGGGAAGATTGTTCATGACTTCTCGGCGCCCCGGCCTCGCCGCAATCTTTCGGCTGCCCAGCAGGATACAATTGTGAATGGGCAGGATACTTCACCACCACAGATACCCAGCCAACCGCGTGGGGCCCACTGGAATGACCAGGAAAAACGGCACAGTGATCATTCGCCTGTTTTCAAGGAACATTTTGAAGACCAGAATGTTCTACAGGTGGAAAACAAGGGTTATCTTCAGTCTTCGCTTTTGACAGGCCAATCACAGCCTGGTCATGAGGGCTCATTACCAGTCTTTGCGCGGAACTTGCCTTCCCATATACCAGACGGAACCGATCTTTCAGGGCAACCTGAACCCATGCTAGATGAACCGCCCCCAAGCCCACCCAAAGCAATCTCCCATGCTCACCCTCAGCATCCTCAAGACCAAGATACTATTCCCAATGGGCCCTTCAATCCCTCAGCCTTGCCGAGACATCTCAAGAGCAATGCCTCTCGATTCAGCTTCGATATGAGCGGAGTAGACTCATCTTCACAAGAGAAAATGCTGGAAGAGAAGCATAAGGCCAAGGAAGCGTCTCGCAGAATGGAGGATGGATATTTTGATGACTTTGACGAGGACTTCGATGATGACATGATGGATGACCTGGATGGTTTGGAAGAAAAGATTCCGGGCGTCAATGCAGACGCCGATGATGACGATTTCGACGATTTCTCTGTTTCCCGAAGTGTTTCGCGAAACATCAACGAGGCCAAGTCCTGGGCTATCCCGGGATTGTCACCCGTCGTTGGTAGCCCGATCACTGCTGCACCACCAGCCCCCACAAACACCTCCCACTTTACTTCTCATCTTTCTGAGAGCACACAATTAGACGTTGGCCCCAGCCAACAACTACCAGGGGAGCAACCCTCCCCAGTTGCCAGGATTGATGAGACGTCAACCCTTCCCCATGTTCCGGCTACGAAACAAGCGGCCCAAGTCCTCGATGATGACGATGATCTTTATTTCGACGACGGCGATTTCGGAGATCTTGCTGCCGACAATCAAGATGGTGGATTTGATGAATCTATATTTGATGACGTAAACAGTCATTTATACGAACGCAAACCAGTCGTTCCTGCGGCACCTTTACCAACGGACAGTGCGGTCCCTGGCAGGGACGACTCTTCGGCAGGGAGAGAAAGCCCCGTCCCAGAAAAGGGAGTCCAAGGACTGCAGCACATGTCTAGTGTGGCCAGTGACTATCGGGTCACAGGATCGGTCAAGCGTGGTCCCCTCGGGGAGCCAATACCAAATATGGGCCCTGCCCGTGCCCATGGTGGTGTGCTCACAGAGCAAAATCTAGATATTTTGCACAACGCTCTAGCTTACGCAGCCAACGAAGCATCATACAGTGGGCGCTTTGAACGCAAGTTCAGCATGAGTGAAGCATCTCAGGGGCAAGACAGTGCAGCTCAAACATCGCAGACGATCGACTCGCAATCGGGTCTGGTTTCTGATGATAGCCGGATCAGCCAAGCTGCGGATGCCATGGCCTTCGAAGACGTCTTCGATGATCAGGTCTTCGATGATCAGGTCTACGATGGTCACTTTTACGATGATTACGATGATTCGTATTTCGACGACGCAATCGTTGCTGCTGCTAACGCCGAAGCTCTTGAGAACGATGACGATGGTTTCTACGGCCAAGAGTTCGGGTTCTACGCACAGGCAGATGGCAACGGCGCCTCTGAGCTAACCAACGGTGGTTATTTTGGTCCGCGACGGGTCGAAGGCATCACACGGAACCACAGCAGCCGCGGCAAATTCCAGGAGCCCAGCTTGACTCCTATTACTGAACGAAGTGAATGGAGTACACGCAACTCTATGATTTCGGTCAAGGCTCACGGCGGTACCCATCCAAATTCAGCTCTAGCGAGCCCTGGACTGGCGCAACTGGTTGACATGGGCAATCTAGACGATGAAATGTCGCTGAGCGCACTCATGAAGCTACGTCGGGGAGCCTGGGGTGGGAGCAACGGTAGCCTGCGGAGCAGTGCAGGCAGTCCACCACCACATACGATGTCGCCTTCTCACCGTACAAGCTTGAATGGTGCCGAAGCAAGCCCAACAGTTTCTGAAGCGAGACCTCTCAGTGCTGATGAGGGAGCTTCGAATAGTGTTGGTCATTTCCATGACGACAGCCACCTACGTACTGCCTTGGCATTATCGGGCCGGCCAAATTCTGAAGAAATTCCCACCAGCGGACCTCAGCGACTCAATGTCTTGTAATATGATGCCCGATTTCCCTGTCTGGATATAATGATCTATTATTTCTCTGCATATTGCATATGCCTTTATTTTGCGGTGATTTTCGCATTGTCACGATTTCATGAATTATTGAATGTTTCTATAGTTTAGATGTTAATATTAATCCAGATCGCAATCTGATGGAAACCTTGAATTCACCTAAATCTCATGTAAAAAGAAAAGCCAAGAGATCCAATGATTAATAGCCATCCCTTTTAGTCCCATTGGGCCGAAAACTCCCGTAGAAGTGCCCGAGTGCTTAGCCGGCTGCGGAGAGAAGTGGCTGATTGGGGCGTTACTTAATGCCTGTCCCCGGGCATCGGCTGTAAGTCGGGCTGAGTCAGCGCACCAGCCTCACTGCCGTGAGATCCGTCATTCTCGGCAGCTCTTCCAAGGTTCCTTTTGCGCTCTTCTTTCGCTTCATCTTTCCACCTCTGCACACTTTGTTTTAACTAGAGCGTTTTAGCTCTCTGATGAGTCCCGATTCTATACAGGTGCTACGGCAATACTAGTCGACACCTGTTCTGTGATTTAATTCGTACGTGTACTTACGCCTCTTCCTTTCCTCCGTATTCCGGTTTGCTCGCTGCAGAACCTGGCAATATCAGGCTGACACTATAGCATACAGTGAATCTGACTATTTGAAGTCTGATTTGGCCAGAATCCCGAACTGTTGTCTTCCAATTCCCCTTTCCTCTAAATCGAAAACTTTATTGGACCTTGATCCAAGAAAAATCCCGCAATGTTCAGAAACACTGCTTTGAAGGCCACCAACAGCGGAATGCTGCGTGGTGCGACCTCTTCATCATGTCGGCGCTCATTCCACCTCGCCACGAGTGCTCGCAGCGCTTCAAAAAGCTCCGGCTTCAGCATGACCGCTCGTCGGCCTCTTGCTGTTGTCGACCGTGCTTTCAACGGTGCCCGGTCCTACGCGGCCCCTGCTGAGGGCCAAAGTCAAGGAGTGGTAAGCAACAAAAATCTTCATGATCGGTAGCGATCCGATCCGGGTTCCCGATAATTGAAATAAACAAACGGACATTCGACTAATGCGACGGCGCGATCTCGCCCTTACGTGGACAGGACCCCAACGATTCTTTCCTCACTGGTAGCACTGCCAACTACATCGATGAGATGTACATGGCATGGAAGAATGATCCCTCGAGTGTTCACATCTCATGGCAGACTTACTTCAAGAACATGGAGGAGGGCAAAATGCCTATCTCCCAGGCTTTCACTCCCCCCTACCCTCGTTCCCACCCCTACCGGCGGTGTCCCCCAAGACATGCCCGGCCAGGGTCTCGCCGGTGGCGCTGACGTGACGAACCACTTGAAGGTTCAGTTGCTCTGCCGCGCCTACCAGGCCCGTGGTCACCACAAGGCCAAGATCGACCCTCTCGGCATTCGCGGAGAGGCCGAGGCTTTTGGCTACGACAAGCCCAAGGAGCTCGAGTTGGACCACTACGGTTTCACCGAGAGTGACTTGAGCCAGGAATTCGCCCTTGGACCCGGTATCTTGCCCCGTTTCATCACCGAGAGCCGCAAGAAGATGACTCTGCGCGAGATCATCGGCACCTGCGAGAAGATCTACTGTGGCTCTTACGGTGTTGAGTACATTCACATCCCCGATCGCAAGCCCTGCGAGTGGATCCGTGATCGCTTCGAGATCCCTCAACCTTACAACTACTCGGTCGACGACAAGCGCCGCATCCTTGACCGTCTGATCTGGTCTTCCAGCTTCGAGTCCTTCCTCGCTACCAAGTTCCCCAACGATAAGCGTTTCGGCCTGGAGGGTTGTGAGACCCTGGTTCCCGGTATGAAGGCCCTGATCGATCGTAGCGTCGACTACGGCATCAAGGACATCGTCATTGGTATGCCTCACCGTGGTCGTCTTAACGTTCTTTCCAACGTTGTCCGCAAGCCCAACGAGTCCATCTTCAGTGAGTTTGCCGGTTCTACTGAGCCTTCCGATGAGGGCTCCGGCGATGTGAAATACCACTTGGGTATGAACTTCGAGCGTCCTACTCCCTCCGGTAAGCGGGTGCAGCTGTCTCTGGTTGCCAACCCCTCTCACCTCGAGGCTGAGGACCCCGTTGTCCTTGGAAAGACTCGTGCCATCCAGCACTACAACAACGACGAGACCAACTACGATACCGCTATGGGTGTTCTGCTTCACGGTGACGCTGCCTTTGCTGGCCAGGGTGTTGTCTACGAGACCATGGGATTCCACTCCCTTCCGGCCTACTCGACCGGTGGTACTATCCACCTTGTCGTGAACAACCAGATTGGTTTCACCACTGATCCCCGTTACTCCCGGTCTACCCCCTACTGTTCAGACATTGCCAAGTCCATCGACGCTCCCGTCTTCCACGTGAACGCTGATGATGTTGAGGCTGTCAACTATGTCTGCCAGGTCGCTGCTGACTGGCGTGCCGAGTTCAAGCGTGACGTTGTCATTGACATGGTCTGCTACCGTAAGCAGGGTCACAACGAGACTGATCAGCCTTCGTTCACCCAGCCCCTGATGTACAAGCGCATTGCTGAGCAGAAGGCTCAGCTCGACAAGTACGTCGAGAAGCTGATTGCCGAGGGTACCTTCACTAAGGAGGACATCGATGAGCACAAGAAGTGGGTCTGGGGAATGCTCGGCGACAGCTTCGACCGCAGCAAGGACTACCAGCCCACCGGCAAGGAGTGGCTGACTTCCGCCTGGAACAACTTCAAGTCTCCCAAGGAGCTGGCCAATGAGGTCCTGCCTCACTTGCCCACCGCTGTTGGCGACAAGTCCCTGAAGCACATTGCTGACAAGATTGCCGGTACCGGTGTTCCCGAAGGCTTCGAGCTCCACCGCAACCTTAAGCGTATCTTGAGCGGACGTAAGAAGGCTGTCGATGAGGGCAAGAACATCGATTGGGCCACCGCTGAGGCTCTCGCTTTCGGTTCGCTCGTTGACGAGGGTTACCATGTCCGTGTTTCCGGTCAGGATGTTGAGCGTGGTACCTTCTCTCAGCGCCACGCCGTCCTGCACGACCAGCAGACTGAGCGCACTTACACTCCCCTGAAGCACATCAGTGAAAAGCAGGGTAGCTTCGTCATCTCTAACTCCTCCCTGAGCGAGTTTGGTTGGTAAGTTCTTGATTTAAAACTCCCCGCGTAACACAGACGCTAACATACAATCTAGTCTTGGCTTCGAGTACGGTTACTCTCTGACCTCCCCCAACGCCCTTGTCATGTGGGAGGCCCAGTTCGGTGACTTTGCCAACAACGCTCAGTGTATCATTGATCAGTTCATCGCCTCCGGTGAATCCAAGTGGCTGCAGCGTTCCGGTCTGGTTGTGTCTCTGCCTCACGGCTATGACGGCCAGGGTCCTGAGCACTCTTCCGGACGTATGGAGCGTTGGCTCCAGCTTTGCAACGAGGAGCCCCGTGTGTACCCCTCGGCTGACAAGCTGGACCGTCAGCACCAGGACTGCAACATGCAGATTGCCTGCATGACCACCCCTGCCAACCTGTTCCACATCCTCCGTCGCCAGATCCACCGCCAGTTCCGCAAGCCTCTGGTCATCTTCTTCTCCAAGTCTCTGCTGCGTCACCCCATTGCCCGGTCTGACATCGAGGCCCTGGACGGCGAGTCCCACTTCCAGTGGATCATCCCCGATGAGGGTCACGGCACCGCCATCGACGCTCCCGAGAAGATCGAGCGTGTTATCCTGTGCTCTGGACAGGTGTACGCTGCCTTGCTCAAGCACCGCGAGGCCAACGGTATCCGCAACACTGCCATCACCCGTATTGAGCAGCTGCACCCCTTCCCTTGGGCCCAGCTGAAGGAGAACCTGGACAGCTACCCCAACGCTAAGGACATCGTCTGGGCCCAGGAGGAGCCTCTTAATGCCGGTGCCTGGTCCTACGCCCAGCCCCGTATCGAGAGCTTGCTGAACGCTACCGAGCACCACCACCGCCGCCATGTCCTATACGCTGGTCGCGCTGGTAGCGCTTCCGTCGCTACTGGTCTCAAGGCCGTCCACCTCAAGGAGGAGCAGGAGCTTCTGGAGGATGCTTTCTCCATTCACCAGGATCACCTGAAGGGCGAGTAAACGCCTTCCTAGTGATTTGACTCGACTTTTGTTGATGAGATACTTGGGATACTGCCTGCACTGACACTTGCATTGAGTTGAGTGTCGTATATTCATTGGTCTTCCTAGAACCTAGCGTTATTTCCTTGCTGTACTACCTCTTTTATTGTACTGGTTTCCTTTGTGTGTTATCGATGTGTCCCTAGGTTCATAGTCATAGCTATGCCAGGACAGTCTTTTGGTTGTCCTATTGTATGGTCCCCGTCTATACCTAGAATTCATGCTATATGTAAAATACAAAGAATCATTGAATTTAGAAAACTCATGCTTGTTTTTCTGTGTATGCCTACCGATTCTTTCCAGCTCACCAGCTGTTAATCATTATACGCACACCTGCTATGTAGGTCCACGGATTCTGGGCATTCCTAATATGACATCACCCGTGTGCTCGGATGATTCAGCAATAGATGCCTGATTGGTGCCGCAGGCAACAATCTCACCTGATTTGATTGCTCTTCTCCGCACTCAAACTTCCCAGCAGCAGCTTCTCCTGCATCAATGCCCTCCTGTTGTTAGGCGAGGTGTTGACTATTGTACATGGTACCAGATCATTGCCGAGCACCATTGGTTCTTCAAAACCTACTATTTCCTCCTTAAATTGGGCTCAGCTCACCTCAACCCTCCTCTAACGGCGCAGCTCCCAGTCCTGACTCTGCCCTTCAACATGTCTGCCGTCTCATCGTCAGTCAATAATCCTACGGGCCAAGGAATTCGACAGTCCGCCCGTCAGACACGTACAAACCCGTCTCGAACCTCCAAAACCATCGGGCGATCATCCTTTGCGTTCGGCCAAGGCTCGACAAATGAAATTCCTTCCACGTCTCCTATTCCTCACGGCTTCTATCCTGCGCTCACGCATTTCACCGATGCTATAACAGCGCTTCCGCGCGAGTTCCGTCGCCACAACTCCCTTCTCAAGGAAGTTGATGCGAAGGCGTGGGCTCTCGAGGAAAATTTGTTGCAGTTACTTCAGTTCTCCTCCCAATCGCAGCCTGTTCCTCATCCTCCCCACCCGGCGCCTATTGTCGGGGGTGTGATTCGGGAGGATCTTTTGCCCAAGGTGAGTTTTATTCGCGATTTGTCTAATTGGCTACTCTGGGCGTTTACTGATGCCTCTCTCTTGCGCTAGGATATATCCCAGTCACCAGAATCGCCCGATAGCAAAAGCCGCCGGCTTCTCTTCGATCGTGTACGCCAAAGTCTTTCGGACCTCATGATGACCGCCGATGAGAAGAATCACGTCATTTCGAACGCAAACGAGGAATTAGATCGCCAAGTTGTCCGGCTGGATACAGTGTTCCCATACATTGCAGGCGAGATCAGCGAGGAGGCTCGACTAGGCAGCCTGACACACTGGGCGTACTCCAACAAGAGTACCGCAAAGGCAGCCACGAACGAACGCCCACGCCGGGAAGCGGTAGCGCAAAGACAGGATCTGTCACACGTGCTTCAAGAGGCTGAAGCTGCTAGTCGCAGTGAGGCGCGGCGCGA